AATGCTCCCTGAGATTCATTATCCACTTGTCAACATCTGTCCCAAGGTCAGGGGCCAGTTCTTCCTGCTCCCTTCCCACAAAGCTCATCAGGGCTCAGCTCCACCAACAGAGGCATCCAAAGTCTCTTCCCAGTCCATCAAACCAGTCCTCTCCAGTTAGGAGAGGCTAAAAGTAGGGATGTGTTCCAGGTACAAGTTCCATGTCAGTAGGAAGTTCCCTGGTGCTTTCTAGTAATTGTGTATTATTATTGGAATTCCCTTCTGCTTTCTGATATTTCCCTTCTGCTCTTCAGAAATTTCCCACAGCTTTCTAAGAGCAGTGCATTTCCTTCTAGGATTTCTCCACTGCTTTATGGCAATTCCTCCTTGCTTCATACGAAATTCCCTCCAGCTTCCTGGGAATTTGTTGGTAATTTTTTTGAAACTCACGTTTTGCTTTCCTGCAGTTCTCCCAGAGCTTTCTAAGAATTCAATTTTCCTTTCTAAGCATTTCCCAACATTTTCCCATGAGTTCTCTGTAGTTTTCTAAGACTTTCCCATGTTTTTTTAGACATTTTTCATACCTTTCCAGGAATTTCCTGCTTCTATGAATCTCTCACTGCTCTCTAGGCACTTCTGTCAGCTTTCAGATGTATCCACCAGCTCGTGGCATGGTGTCAAGGGTTGTTCCACACTGGTTGTGCTGCTGTGTGTTTTGACATGCCAGATGCTATTCCCAGTTGTCCTCTGGTGTCCTGTATTGTCATATATGACAGATTTTGTCATTGTTGTACTGACACACCTCATTCTCATATCTTTAACTATTTTATAAAGCCACAGGAAAGGCTCAGGAGGTGAAAGTAAAAGGATTAATCAATATCTGGTCCCTAGATGCTGATGAAAAAAATTGTCAGGTCTGTTTGAAGGAGTTGTGAGAGCCTGTGTCCTGTGGGGTGTTCCTACACCTCCCCTTGCCCTTACAGGTGTATTTTGACATCCCAGATCATTCTGCTGGTCAAGGGTCTTGCTGTCAACAGCAGCTGGCATGAATCTTTCATGGCAACAATGATCCCACATGAGACATTTATAAAATATCCACATCATAGAGGAAATGGCTTCCTAATCTCCTTGAAAGGCTGGTTTATCCCTTTAAACACAGCTTTATGTCCCTTCTAAATGCAGATTGGCTTTTCATCTTCATTCCCTTCCATTCTTATCCAATATAACTGTGCATCTAGAGAAAGAGGAAAATTGAGTATGCATTAATTTAGCTTGGCACAGAAGAGCATGAGTAACCTAGAACTGAGTTCAAATATTGCAGATGGAGCCAAAGCATTTAAGTGATTTTGTAAGTAACACTCTATCAGCTTATATAAGAGTTTCATTACCATTTATATTGCCAAAAAATGTTGTGTTACTTGCCTGTTTGATCAAATTTCCCAAGATGATAGTTTATTCCTAATCAGCCGAGACTGGGAAAACAGGGTGGTGGTTTTTGATGTACTGACACAGACCCTCAGAAATCGCTGGCTCATTTACAAGAAACAATCCTTGAACTCCCTCAGGACTGTACTGCTGTCCTAGTCTGACATTTGAATCTTCTACATAAAATTAATGTATATTACGTCAGGAAACCACAGGAAATGCTGGATATACGTGGGTCACCTTGCCCAGCATTCTGCTCCTGATAGCAAAACCCAGCACAGAGCCTTCACAGGCGCCTCCCATCGAGTGTTAATGAATAATTCCCAGAAATGTTGCTGGTTTCTTCTGGCAAATCCCTGATAACAGCCAGCTTGGTGCCAAGGCCAGTTCCCATCTTCGTATTCCAGAGCCAGCCACTGAAAACACCCCAGATCCTTTCATGTGCCTTTGGGAACATCATCACATCATTCCCCACTGTTCTGCAATTACATTTCTCATGGAGCAGGAAAGTCTTGACATCTCCCACGTTTGCCTTCACGCTGATTGCACCGTTTTCAACCCAGGGTTTGAAATTCCTGGTCCTGCAGTGCCACTTACTGGGCACTTCTGTTCATAAAAGCATGTGCAGCATTTCATTTACTCAGTTGGTTCCCAGGGCTAATTTGAAATGGAGATAAACATAAAACCAATGATCGCTTAAGAATACAGGAAAGCAAATACAGTAAAGCTTATTTCTTAGAGGAGGCAGTAATTGTGGAGGAACAGAAATCCTCCTTTTCTGGTCAGTGTAGGGAAGAATTTGCCCTGTAATAGTGTGGGAATTCGTCCAGGTGGAAACATGCAGATGGTTAAATTCATCCCTAATTCAACAAATGCATATGGGAGTTTGCAGGGTTTATTAATATATCCCTTGGGAAATAAAACAACTGAAAGGAATGCTTCAAAAGGAGCTGGGGTGGGGTTTATTTGATTAATCCAGGCATACATTTTTAATAGAGCCAAAAACATTTTAGTGTGAAAATTAGTGCAGATGAAGAAAGCCATAGAGTCAGAGGTCAGATATTCTTTGTGACTACACATATCCACCCATTTTCCTTTCAGTTTGTAGCTCATGAGTAACTCCTGGGTACTGCTCAGAGCCATCTTGAGCCTTCTCAGAATTCATGGCAAAATATCAGATTTGTTACTCAGCAATGGGAGAAATTACTTGCCCAGTGAAAGAGAAATTATGTAGCTGTTCAAAACCATCTGCACTGATCACAGAGCAAATTATTAACTCATGCAGCTTTGCATCTAATGACTCAGAGAAAGCATTTAGGTATTCATATATCCACATTAAATACTCTGCAAGCAGAACTTCAACTGTGACGTGAAGAAAAGTCCACATGTGGTTTCAAATCAGATTAACAAGTTAGTATCTTTATTAGAGACAGAACACATCAGTCCTCAATGCAAACCATACAAAACAACACCAGTTATACCTTACAAAAACTAATTTATTTCTCTGCACAACATCCAGTGTTTCCATTTCCTGAACAAGGTGCTTTCCTGCTCAGTCATTGCCATGTTTTTTAACAAGAAGTGTTATGGCCAGATACCATCACAAATGTATCAGTGTTGGACCTGTCAGTGGTCATGGAGACTGGGATCTGACTGACAAATTAGACATCAGCATGAAAATATATAAATTGTGCACAAATTTTGTTGTGCAGTGCAAGGATATCGGTGCCAGTTTTTATTCTTTCATGATGGACTCTCATCTGGTATATTTGCATCTGCAGTTGTCATATTTATATCTCAGATTTAAGTTGTGGAGCCACAGGGGAAATAGAACAGGAGACATACGAGATTGGATGTGGCTGTGTCAGAATGAAAGTTGACACTTAATTTTTTATTGAAAATCATGAAATGAGTTGGCTTTCACTTAAAAACTGAAAACAAACTGCAGCCTATACAATTCTAGTTTATTTTAAATATATATATATATATAATTTCATAAAAGTTGAGTATTAACAGCAGAGCTTTCATCAAAAAGTGCAACTTCACAAACATTTGATACTTGGGCAGAGTCATGGCTTTTTAATATAAAATTCCCATTCAGTGTCCTGCAATGAGCAGGGAGAGGGAAGTCAGTCCTGTATCCAGAGAGCTGATCTGCAAAGCTGCCACTCCTCCAGGGATAAGATCTGTGGACAGAGCAGTGATCTTACAATGGGAATTTCAACAGAGTTGCCGGGCTGGGCTATAGATGGCACTTGCAATCCATCTCTGTGTTATTCTGGTCCTCAAAAGAGCTGAATGAGCACGGTTTGTGGTGTCTGCACGGGTGTCCCCCTGCTCCCAGGGCACTCAGCATTCAGGTTAGGGTTAGGGTTAGGGACGGGATGGGATAGGATGGGATTGGGATGGGATTGGGATTGGGTTCGGGTTTGAGCCCCTGTGCTGGGGGACAGTGTCACTTGGAATTAGCGGAGCAGGTTGCACAGGACTGATGTGAACCTCAGGGGAAGTAAAAAATCAAACTAGAAGGTTTGAAATTCCAAAGTGTTTCTACTGTCGCAGCAGCCCAGCCACACCTGGGAATAAGAGAAAGAAGGAACATGACAGCGGGGAGGCCACCATTTGTCCCCGTGCTGGTCTCCTCCTCCACAGCTGCATCCAGAACATCATTACTGGGTGCCAGCAGCTTTGAGTTGCTGAAATAGAAATGAAAACACGTCCTGCCCTGAGCACTGCTGCCTTCCCAGTGCCCACACCACACAGCAGGGGATGGGCTGGGGAAGGGATGTCCCGCTCGAATGCAGGCAGGGGGTGACAGTGACATGTGGATACTCCTCACCAGCTGCTAATGCACTTCTGATCTGCTCCCTCAGGTGCGAGCTCTGTGACAAGCCTTGAGCGACCTTCAGAGCCGCCTCCTGAGCTGACAGTGCTGTCCTCACACATGGCCATGTGTTGTCCCTCATGGCCAGGTTTGGGGGTGTTAGTGTGGCTTGGGTTTGTGATAATAACCCTGAAACAACAATCCCAGTCCAGCACAGCCTGGAGGAGATTGACGGGAGACCTCACCACGGTCCCTGTATGGGCTTAGGAATTGGACTCGATGGTCCTTGGAGGTCCCTTACAACTCAGAACAGTCTGTGGGTCCGTGATTTTGTGGTCTGCAGCTTCCTCAGGAGGGGCAGCACCGATCTCTGCCCTCTGTGACCAGTGACAGGACTCGAGAGAATCGCTGGAGCTGCGTCAGGGGAGAAAATTAGGGAAAGGTTCTTCACTCAAAGCGTGGTTGGGCTCCCCAGGGAAGCCTAACAGAGCTCACAAGGAGCGTTTGTCTGGCAAACGCTCTCGGCTAACGGTGGGACTGCTGGGGCTCCGGGAGGCCAGGAGCGGGACCTGGCCATCCCAGCGGGTGCCCTCCAGCACAGGACACTACATAATAAATAATTAGCGGCAGTAACCGAAACGGAGCCGGGCCTTGGGGGCAGCGGGCGGAGGGAGGCGCGGGCGGCCCCGGGCGCTGCCCGCACGGCCCGGCCCGGCCCGGCCCCGCCGGGGCGGAGCGAGGCGGAGCGGGGCGGCCCCGCCGCCTCCCGGCCCCTCGCCCGCGGCGCCGAGCGAGGCTCTTCCGGGCAGCGCGGGGCCGGCGGCCGGGTGAGTACCGGGGCCGGGGCCGGGCAGTCCCCGCGGGGATGGGCTACGGCCGGGGACGGGCGGAGGAGCCAGCGCCGGTGGCACTCCCAGTGCTGTAGTGGCGACCAGGCAGGGACCCAGCTCCATCTGCTACCAGTCCGCTCCACAGGGAGCCAGCCGCCCGTGTTGCTCTGTCCCTTCACAAGGGACCAGTTCCCCGTGTCGCCTCGGGCCCTCCGCAGACGCCCAGCCCCATCTGTCACCTCTGTTACCCCTGCAGAGCCCCTGATCTGTTTGTAGAGCTCTCTTCCCTTCTCAGGGGTCCAGCCCCGTCTGTCACCTCCATCCCCTCCACAGGGATCCAGCCCCTAATGTCCACCCTGCCCCTCCACAGGGACCCAGCCCCGAATGTCCACCCTGCCCCTCCACAGGGTTCCAGCCCCATGTGTCAACCCATCCCCTCCACAGGGGCCTAGGTCTGTGTGTCCCCCCTGTCACCTCCCCAGGGTCCCAGCCCCATGTGCCATCCTGTCCCTGTGGAAGCAGGGCTGGATGCTGTCACAGCCTCCTCCTCCCTGCACACATACCAGCTCCCTGCTTCCCCACCCACTCCCAAAACCTGCCCCTGACCGCTCGCTGTCCCCTGAGCAGAGCTGTCTGTGTCACAGGGATTGTGTGACAGCGACACAGATTCCAGGCCTGCAAGAGACAAGCCTCCCTGCTGCAAGATCATCATTTCCAGGGGAGGAACACACCAAATAATTCCAAGGTCAGGCACCTGGTAGTCAGAGACAGAATTTTAATTATGAGTATTAATATTTTTAAAATTTTATTGAATTATAAATAATCTATTGTTATTATACTTGTGGGTGGGGTGAAGATTGGCATTGTATCAATCTGCAATTAAAATATCACCTGGATGGAAAAAGATACGTGAAATAGTGAAAAAGTACAGAAGAGGGCCATGAACACACCTAGGGTAGAGCCAAAGCTGCAGTTTATTGCTGGGGGTTAAAACACAAGGAGCAGAAACAAGCTTGAAATAAGAGGTTTCACTAACCTTGGTTAGCAAAGGAGGTTTATTTTCCTTAATGTAGAGATGAACACGTGCCGTGTCTCTGGACGTGCCTCGTGCAGTGGGAGGGGAGGTGGCAAAGAAAATCTGGCAGAGCTGAGCTGGCTGCAGGGATCTGTAACATCGGGAGCTGACTTTAATGCAGAATGATGAAATCTCTGGTCAAGTTACACACCAAAGATGGCTCCTGTTTTGAGGAGAGAGCCCCAGCAGCAGGCTCATCTCACCCAGGCTGCTGCTTTTGTTGCTAGGCTACAAGTGGGATGTACATTTATAAGCAAAAAAAAAAAAGATTAAAGAAAAACCAAGCATCTTGTGGTGTTGCCATGCTTTGCCTTCTCCAGCATTCCATTTAGGATTGCAGTAGGAAAAATCATAGTGCAGACAAAGATTTAATTTTTTTTCTCTGGTGCTTTAAATAGGCATTTCACTGCTAGAAGGTGTTTTGGGAAAGAAAAACTTGGCAAGTGGCTTTAACATTTGGTGTAAGTACATTGCATCAGACTCCCAGTCATCAGCTGCGCTGCTTATTTGAAACTGTGGCAGCAAATGTACTGCAAATAGAAGAATACCACTGCTTACAGACCCTGATAAGTCTCACATGTGCTCTTTTGCCACCACACAAAAGTGGTTTTTTCCCCAAAAAGTCTTATTAGTTCTTCCCATTTGAACTAATTAACTGCCATGACTGACATCCCTGGAGAAGGCCTTGTGTTCCTTTCTTTGCCAGAGCAATTAAAACGTGGATTTGCCTTTCCGCTGTTACTTTGCCAATGTGTTGTAGTTTTAAAGTAGAACAGGTCACTTTTTCCTAATCAGAGAGAGGTTTATTTCCTGTCTTTTCTCCTGACCCGACATAGCAGCCCTTTGGGTGGGCATTGTGGAAAACTGGGCATTGGAAAAGAAAAATCTTGAGTTTGTTCAGACAAAGGAGCCCCAGAAAAGGAACAATGTGTTACTTGAGGAATAAAGAGGCCTAGCAGGACCCTGGAGTATTTCTCTATCAAAGTGGCATGGGAAATGTTCCAGAAGAACTCAGCTCTGCAAAAACAAGCAGCCATGGGCACTTTGCTTTGCAAAGAGAAGGAAGAAGAGAGGCTGTTCTCCTCATTTTATAGCAGCAGGTACTTTTCTCAACCTCAAGGTTTTCCAGGCTGCATCTCATTTCCCAGAACAAGGCACTGACAGCTGGACATCAGGTTGTTAAGGGACTGCTTTGAAGGATGAAGATGTGGGGGCCTAAGTGTGTCAAATCTTATTTTTGTCTCTCCCAGTGAGTCTGCACATGAAATAACAGCAGCACCTGTCTCTAACTTTTGAACTATTCCTATTCTAAAGAATCGTAAAGGATTCTGTGAAGAAAGAGGTTCTGCTGTTATCTTCTATTTTTACTGGGGTTTCAGGGAAAAACCTCACTCTTGTTCTTTAAAAAAAATGATTTAGTTGCCTCTAGAAGATTTTGTGAATCATTATCTGACCTGATCACCTTTACCTCACCAGAACTTACAGGTCTATGTCCTGGTAAAGGACACCACAAAAGTTACACCTTTCTGTCAGCGTTTGTGCAGGCTGGTTGGAATTCTGTTTTAAGCTGGATTACCCTGCTCATCCCATGCTTTGTAACAGAAGGTTGCAGGTTGCAGTTTGGGAGTTGGGCACCAAGAAGTCAAATGTCACAGTGAGCATTATCACAATTATATCTGCTCTACTTCTGGATGTGGAATTCTCTTTAGACTTCTCCCTGGGTTCACAGTTACATCATCATGAAATTTCCTTTTCTGTCACTCTAGTCCCAGTTTTAACTGATACTGTAAAGAAACTGACGAAAATTCTTAATTTTGGAGTTTTTCAAGGCTCGGGTTAAAATACAAGGTGTCAGTAACATAAGAAAATATAAATGGTTTCAAGGAAAGTGACAAAGCTGCATTTCATCATTTGTGTACTGCTGCATGAGTTTAAGTTGCCCAGAATTTCCCAGATAATTTTCCCATTTGGAGTATTCAGTTATGCAACACAGTTTAAAATAAGTGATCAAATATCTGCATTGTTCAAAATTGAGTGAAATAAATTAAATAGTCATTGCTATTCTTCTAGCAGTTGCTTTGGTTTGAAAAGTAGTTGCATGACCTTCAAATGTGACGTTTAAAAGATGAACTTTGTAAACGAACAGCAGAGAGTTGAACTCCTGATAACTCCTGAATCTGCATTTTGTATAATTGCTGCAACTGCTGCTGCTAACCTTTAAACAAAGTTTAAAGTCTTCTGCTGTTGCTGGTTCTGTGGAAAATCTAAATGTAGCCTTTGTACCAAAACTGTTGATCAGACTTTGTGCAGGTTTTGTATGTAATTATTATGTTAAGGGAGGCCACTGTCACTTATTCTGAAGCCCTTTATTCCCCCCAGTTAGTATTAAACTTTAGAGTGTGAACAGGCAGATGATTCCATCTGATCAGAGGGGGCAGGAAATTTGCCATGGGCAGGGATATGCACCCCAGGGCCTGTCCAAGCTGGCCTTGGACACTTCCAGGGATCCAGGGGCAGCCACAGCTTCTCTGGACAGCCTGGATGCCTCATCACCCTCACAGGGAAGGATTTTTTCCCGATATCCAATCCAACCCTACTCTGTTTTGGTTTGAAGCCATTTCCTCTTGTCCTGTCATTCCAGGCCCTTCTAAAAAGTCTCTTTCCATCTTTCCTGCGAGCTCCCTTCAGGCACTGGAAGGCCACAATGAGGCTGCACAACCCCAATTCTCTCAGCTTCTCCTCACTGGAGGAAAACACAGCCATGTGTTGAGTTTTCCTCTGTGAACTCACCATCAGTTATGACTCTGAGAATGTGGCACATAGGAGGAGCCACACATGGATAATCAAACTTCTGTGAGGGTGCTGGGGAGACAAACAGTGCCAAAAAATGTCCTGGTCACGGGAATGCCACCCCCCAGTATTGTTCAGTCACTGGAGCGTGGCGGGGCCAGGGTTTGCCCAGCACAGCTGATGTTCAGCCAGACAATCCTGCAGCATGAGGCTGGATTTAGCTGCTCCTCTCCATGGGCAGTTTGGATACAGCTGCTCTAGTTTGGAAACAGAAGGGGTTTAGTGATATGAATGTGCCAGAGAGCATAGTCCGTCCTTCATTGCTGATTTAATTTGCTGGGGAAAACAGCTGCAGGGTTTCCAGGTACAAGTGGTTCTATTAAATGCCTTCCTAATTGATTTGTTATTTGAAATAGTGAAAATATGGAAAATTTTCTCTCTTACTGCATGTTTTCCATGAGAGGTGTTAATTGTTTGACTGTGTTACGATGTCATTCATTATCCTTTCCAGTACTGCTGATCCTCCTGTGTGAGCATAACTTCAAAGTGACATTTCAGTATGGATTATTTCAACAGCTGATGTGTTTGTAAAATTCATTTTGTTTCCCAAATCCCCTGTTAATGGCTTTGTTTGTGGAGAGCAGCCATTGCCTGGGCAATTTTGCTGCTTCCACCTTAAAATTCAAGGTGCCATTGATTGAAAGTTTTATCCTATTTCAGGATTAGTTGGTATTTTCTGGATAGCAGCAGGTGGAACAGTAAATTCAGGTTTTTACATATATAGGCACCTTAATTAATTAATTGTTAGGTAGTGTGCCTTCATTAGTTGATTGTAACAAAGCAAATGCTTTTATCTTTATCTTTATTGTGTTTTTGCTTTCCAGTTCCCTTTGCAAACTTTCTGCTTATCTCAAGGTTCAGATGGATTTATTTAAATTTGATTTAATCCTAATGTCCTTTATTTTTTCTGTATCCAATTCAATTACAGATAATGAGAACTTAAATCTTGGGCACACTTAGTACAGATGGAAAATTAGATCACTGAAAGTAGAGGAGCTCCACCCTTGACAAAGCATTGTAGTTAAAATAATAATTAAATCTTAAGTAGTTTTATTACAGTGCTTTTATTATTGAGTATCTGAATGGGTTATGCAAACAGCAGCACCCCTCTAAAATTGTACCTGAAAATTAAGGAGACAGGTAGGTAAAAATAGTGTTGCAGCAACTTAAATTGAGGGTGTTGCACCTATTTCTTGGAGTTTTACAGTCTCACTGTTTAAATAAAAAGTGAAACTAAAAAAAGCCATCTAATTTATGATGATGACTCTATGGCTGTTAGACAACATATTGATGAAACCATTTTTGTACAGTCACCACTTTTACTTTACAGATGGACATTTTGTTTTATAAGAAGATTCCTTTGAAGTATATCAGCATTTTATTAGCCTATGGTTTTGCTTTATGGGATTTATTTCCCTTTTCAGCATTTACTCATGGGGTCTGATGAGTCACAAGTAGCATCATGCAGTTTCTTTAAAACAAGAAATGGTGCTTTTGTGGTAAAAATGTTTTGCTGGACAACTTCTAAGTTTTCAAGACAGAAATTCCCTGGTTCTCTTAGGCACTGTTGTAACAGGCCTGTGATTCAGAGTCCCGTGACTGGCAAACTGAGACACCTTTTTTACCTCTCTGCAAGTTTGATGCATCTCCAAATCATATTATTCTCATCTTTTTTACACTCCCTTGTGTGTGTGACATCTGCTCTTTCTCTGTGGGCATTGGTGGTCTGTCTGGTTTATTTAAGTTCTTTAGAACAGCATTGTTCTTACCTGCTGAAAAGACAAGTCAGCCACATCACTGAGAGAATAAAATGGGTTTGTGTATTTAAATAGCTGTCACCTAAAATTTAAACCCCTTTTTCTAGGAGATTTAACCCTTTTGCAGCTGTCTCACCCCCCCCCACCATCCTCTGCAGGATTGAATGTCCTTTATTAAGATTAGTAATAGTGAAGTCCATATTCTCTATTCCCATCTTTCTAAACAAGCACAGACATTTCAAGCATGACTTTTTGTTGAGGCACATGAATTAATGGATGTTTTCCATTTTTCTGCTAGGTTGGTTTCTCCTAGGTTGCTTTTGCAGCAGCACTAATCCTGTTTTCTAGATTTACAAGGAGAAAGAGAGACCAAAGCCTGTGCTGACCTGTCTCTGGCTAGGATGGGTAACAGCAGGAGGAAAGGCATGGAAACATCTGGGAAATCTGTTCCAGGGCTCAGGCATTTCCCAGGCCAGAAGTTGTGCCTCCTGTGCTGGGGGAATTGCTGGGCTCAGTCCCTGCCCGTTCCTCTGCTGCCACTACCAGGCCCCCAGGTCAGAGCCTGGGCCCTGCTCAGACCCTCCCTGCACCCAGGGACCCCAGGGATCCCCAGGGCTGAGGGTCCCTCTCTGTTGGGGCTCCTCTCCATGCTGAGCAGCCCCAGCTTGCTCCAAGGAGCTGCTCCAGCCCTTCCTCAGCTCCACAGGATTCACTGGATCTGCTCCAGGAGCTCCAGGTCTCCATGTCCTGAGGACCCAGAGCTAGACACAGCACCCCAGAGATGTGTTGAGCAAAGGGTTGAGCAGAGAGGCAGAATCACTCCCTGACCTGCTGGAAATGCTCTTCCCAGTGCACCCCAGGATCCTGTTGGCATTCTTGGTCACCAGGACGCTCTCCTGGTCATGGAGAGCTCAATGTCCAGCAGGACTCCAGAGCTGCTCTCCAGCAGGTCACCCCAGCTGTGCAGCTGCAGGGGTTCATTTCCCTCCAGTGCAATCTTTCTGCTGCATTAGTTTCCTGCCAAGGTAGTAAATTCCATCAGCAAACCTGGGTCAAAGAACATCAGAGCAGACACGGAGTAGATAAAGTGGGCAGGGGATAAAGACAGGATGTGAACGTGTTTAATGTCCCGTGTTCTGTACATTGCCCTTTTCTGATTGTTTCAGACTGAGACAATCCTGAATTGAACCATCTGCAGAGAAGGCAGATGCTTCATGTTTTGATTTCATTTTACTGAGGGACTTGGGCTTGTGGACAGAGGTATCAGAAGTAAATAAAGGGAATTCCCAGAGAACCCAGTAGTGTATATTCTAATCAGAGTGAACAGAAAGAATTATCCAGAATGAAAAGAAAGCAGACAGCTTCTATGGATGCAGTGCTTTATTCAGCATTCATTAGACAGCTTTAACCAGATTATCATAAGCTATCCTAAAGCAGCTTTAATCTTTCTTAATGAAACAGATAATTTAATTAGAAAAACATTTACACTTGAACTTTCCTGCAAATAAGGGAATCAGTCACAGAACAGCCCTAATGATTTTTATCTTTATTTTGCTGGAAAAGAGGGTTTGAAGAAATGAGTGTACTTGCCTTCATAGGGCTTTGCAAAACCAGCAGTTCCCGTTTTAGACCAGAAGATGGACTAGTAATTCACAACACAGCACTGTTTACAGGAGGGTGTTTTTAATGGCAAAGTACTAAGAAAAGGAAAGGAAACCTAAGGAGCATCTCCTCTTGAGATGCTGTGCACGAGAAATCTGTTCTCCAAATCTGTCCTGAGTCTTTTTTCATTTCCATGATCTGTGTTCATCCTGCAGCATGCCTGGTTGAGAGATGTACACATGAAAATAATCCTGCTAATAAACAGTGCTGTACAATAATGACCTTAACAGTGAGGAAATGTGAGTGTAAAAAGGGGAAAAGATTCATTTCCCCTACTGTACCAGATTTATTAGCATTCTGGTATCTTAAAATCACAGAATGATTTGAGTTTGGAGGGACCTTAAAGATCATCTAAAATTGGACATTTATTTATAAATATATAAATATATAAAAATGGATTTATATAGATCCAATTTCTGCCATTTGAACAAGCATTATTGGGAAGGGGATTTTTTATTTCACTGGTAGTTGAATATGTTGCAGAAATTTCTTTTAAGAAAGTTACAACCCATATACTTGTGCTATGGAGGGACTGTCCTTTTTCATTAGATGTTGAAGTAAATTTAGTCATCCTGAAGTAATTTTTACTTTCCTGGGCTTTATGCCCCATAAATGCACAACTCTGTTAATTCAGTGTCCTTCATTGTAGTTCTTTAACCATTTTTGAAGTATCATTAGGAGATCTGGTCATGTGTTCATAATGTAGCAAATTGTTGCATTATGTAATCTTTGTTTTGTTAAAACATGGATTTAGAGAAACAACATTTATTAAAAAAAATTGGTGGGTTTGTGATCCTAATTTTTTGGTTTGTTTTGCTGTGCTAGAGAAGTTAACTGGATTTTATTTAATATTTCATCTGTCACTGCACTTTATAGCACTTCAGGCATCTCTTGAAATAGTTGATTTCTCATTCCCTTCAATACATTATCTTCAACAAACAATAATTCATCACTGAAGTAAAGCACTTTCTGAATATTGTATATTGTTGTTTGGTATGTCTGTTTATTAATAAACTTCTATGCTCCCTTTGCATCTGCCTCATCTTCAGGTATTTGTACAAATGTAATAAATAATGTATAAACATTATTTATTACATTTGCTTATAAACATTATTTATTACTTTCTGGACACAGAAGCATTTCTGTAAACTTACCCCTTTAAACCTGTGTTCTGCAAATTCTTTGGTGTTTGTTCTCTGGGCTTTTACTCTTAAGTGTGGCCACTTTTCATCCTGCAGGTTCTAGATACATTAGGAGATGAGTGGAATTTTGAATTGCAAATGTTGATGTTTTTTTGGCAGAGCTTTTGAAGATGGCAGCAGGTATCCCATTAGATATTAATATCAAGGAGCCTCGATGGGATCAAAGCACATTTACTGGACGAGCCAATCACTTCTTCACTGTAACAGACCCCAGGAATATTTTGTTATCTGATGCCAAACTGGAAAGTGCAAGAAAAATTGTGCATGATTACAGGTATGATATTGACTACTTCTACTGACCCCAAAAAGTCCAAGTCAATGATAAGTGCATGATGATATATTTAAAAGGAAACACTTAAAACACTGTACTCACTGCAACACTTCTAATTCCCACTTCAGAACTTAAAATCCTTTTCTTTTTAATCAAATTTGCTAATGGATAGGGAATTTATGTCCCTCTTAAGGGTTCTGAAATACAGAATACACAGAATACAGAATACACAGAAGTGCCTAATTCTGAAAATAGTTAATATGACAGCAAAGCTTAAAATTTCCTCTTATGTGTACCATTTGGAGCAATTGGTTTCTTAAGTAGTCTCCAAGTGAATTTTCATAATTTCACACTAATGACCTCAGAGATTTTTGCTCTATATTTTAGCTCTAAAACCTAGTGCAAGTTTGAGGAAATTGACTCAGCCAACATAATCACTGCTGGGAGTTTTAATTCTTTTTATTTCACCAATCCATTTAAAAGCTGAAGAATCTCCACGAGCTATCAGAGAGTCTCAATTAACTTAGGGTGAACAACCCCAAATCCTGTGATGCCACATTTCTCACGGGAGTTTGCAGAATTTTATAACAGTTGTACTTTTTGCTGTTTTCTTGTTTCTTAACCTGCCCTAAGACAAGGTATCGTGGCACCTGGCTTGACAGAAGATGAGTTGTGGAGAGCAAAATACATCTATGATTCAGCTTTCCACCCAGACACTGGGGAGAAGATGTTCGTGATCGGCCGAATGTCCGCCCAGGTCCCCATGAACATGACCATCACAGGCTGTATGATGACCTTTTACAGGTGAGAGATGGCAGTCAAACACATAAAACATTTGCCTGTGAATTAGAGAAGCGAAAATCAATGTTATTGTCAGAAGATTTACTGTAATTATTTTTATATGTGAAATTTTGCTTCCTTTCCCTCTTCTCTCTCCTCATTCCCTCCCGCTGATTAATGGTTCTTTCTGAGATAAGCCCTTAGCCCTTCTCCTTCACCATCCCACTTTCCCTCAAACTGGGAAATGTTCCAAAATCCCATCTGTGTGGAGGACAAGGAGAAGGAGATCCCTGGGACTTTCCAGCCTTACTGGCATGCAGGATGTTCTGTCTGCCCCGTGAGTACTCAGAATGCTTTGATCCATTGGTTGTGGAGTTTCTGCAGCTCCCCTGTGACCCCTGCATTTCCTCAGTGGTTCTGGAATCTCCAGGACAGTGGAGCCCACTGAGGCAGAGCCAGTACTCTCTTAGCAGCCTCAATGCTAGAAACACTTTTTGACACAGGATGCAGGAACTGGTGGGAGCTCAGAGGAAACTGCAGCAGCCTTTTGGATGCTGAGATTGTACAAACTCCTGACACACAGCCCAGTTTTGGGTGGTATTTATAAAACATGGGTGTGCTTTAAATTGCAATCAAGAACATGAATCAAGCCCCCAGCACAGCTGCCCATTCCCAAGCACTGCCTCCTGTCAACTGCTTGTTCTGTTATTATCTGTAACACTTAGAAAAGCTCTCTACCTTTTCTTTGCATTATTACTCAGGTTCAAAACTAGTTGATTTTTAAGTTCTAGAATAACTCTGACTATCAAGTCAGTATCTCACTGGCTGTATTGTTTCATTCAAATAAGCAAGAACTTCTGCATGGTTACTGCTTGCAGTGGCTTTTCTTGATTTGTCATCATTTTCTCATGCTGTTAATTCAACTGGGAATTTAATAATAATAATTACAATTGTTTCTCTTTTCAAGAACGACACCAGCAGTGCTTTTCTGGCAGTGGGTCAACCAGTCCTTCAATGCTATAGTAAATTACACGAACAGGAGCGGGGATGCCCCAATCACTGTCAGGTCAGGCACTGAACTTCATAATTCTGATGAGTTTAGAAGTTGCTCTCTGATGTACTTGAATGTTATTGGGCATTAAAGTTTGAGTTGGGACAGGGATAAGTTTTTCCATTTGTACTAATTTGATATGCACAGATAAGAAGTCTGAGAATGGCAGAGCTGAGAACTCAATTTCTGCCATTAAAGATAAGCCTGAGCACCGTGATCAAGAGCACTTAACAGTGCAGAATTTAGCAGGAGTCTGTATTTCAGGGCTCAGTCAGCTATTTGCAAGTTTTCCTCATCAGTTTGGTGTCCTACCAGGATATTTCTAAGCTGATATTTTGTGGGGGCCTTTAGTTGTGTCACTGTGCTGTCACCTTCTCAGTGCCAGCACACACCACACTGAGGGTTCATTTACAAAAAGAGATTCCTTCCACTGATCTGTGCTTGTTTCTCCTTGATGTCTAAAAAAGAGACTAAGTAGATGAAGAAAGCAAGAAATCTGAAACTCAAAGAGGAAAAATTTAGGTTAGATAAGCAGAAAAAATCTTTCCTGTGAGGGTGGTGAGGCTCTGGCACAGGGTGCCCAGAGAAGCTGTGGCTGCCCCTGGATCCCTGGAAGTGTCCAAGGCCAGGTTGGATGGGGCTTGGAGCAGTCTGGGATAGTGGAAGGTGTTCCTGCCCATGGCAGGGGGTGGAATGGGGTGAACTTTATGGTTCCTCCCAATCCAAACCATTCTATGATTCTATGAATAGAAAACTGGAATTGCAGTACTTGACTTTCTGGTTTTGGGGCTGACTTGCTTAAAGATGTCTGGGAGCAAACTGTGGATTCCAGCATACAGAGACACCTCCTGGCTGGGAGGTATGTAAAGTGTGGTTTGGGGCAGGCTGGGTTGGATTTGAGTGTTTGCAGCATAGCTGGTCTGCCATATATGTGGTTTGGTATGGTTGATTTTAATTACTTTATAGACATGGCCTTGGAAATGCAAACTGATTTTACTAGGTTAAGCAATTAGGAAATTAAATAAAGAACTAATCCTTCAAGGTGTTCATTCAGATACGTGAGAAAATGCTGAACAGGCAGCAATGCACAACCAGCAGAACTTGATTCAGTATTACAATGTAGCTTGAATATGATTTTTACTGCTGGTGAAATAAAAGTGTTTAAATCAGCGTCCCATTTATATCTTCCATCCCCACCTTATTGCAGTAGCACAAGAAAGCCTGTTTAACTTCTGGGGGAGCATAACTACGTGGGTAAAATGTAATTGTTTTTCAAAGTGACACCAATGTAGCTGTGCATGTGCAAACATTTTCATTTCTGTTTTAGGCAGCTGGGAACAGCCTATGTTTCTGCCACCACAGGTGCTGTTGCAACAGCCTTAGGACTTAATTTACTAGCAAAGGTATTGCTGGTATTTTTTCTATTCTTACTAAACTATGATATTGTGTGAGAAGCTCACAGCTCGTTTCTCCTCTGGTGTATCTGTGTCATGCACAGCTCTCACTGTGGAGTTGTTATGGCTGCTCCTTTCTTTAGATCCCAGCTTTATTTTTTCCCTGTGGTGATGGGTTTATGCGTATTTGTCAAACAGCCCCATGTTTGCTTCATGCAAACATTATTCTATCTAATAAGGTGCCTTTTTTCCAGCTTCTTTTTCACCTTTCAAGGCATCTAATAGCACTTGAAAATTAATTTGAGTTGTAATTACACTTCCCTGTGATGCTACTAAATTCAGAATGGTTTTGCCACTCTCCTGCCACTGCTGACTCTGGAGAGAAGCATTTATGCATTATTTCTTGTTTGAATCTTGTTCTACCTCTGCCCCAGCAGTGAGTTTTCAGTGAATTTTAATGTAAAGGAAATAAGTCTGGTCTGTCATTAGCAGATGAAGCATTTCAATAGAGACAATGATTATGTACATTTTTATTTTCCTTTTTTCCCCCCTCTCTGTGTGTTTTCCAGCGCGTCTCACCTCTTATAGGGAGGTTTGTTCCTTTTGCTGCTGTTGCTTCTGCCAACTGCATCAATATTCCACTAATGAGACAAAGGTAGGAAAAAGAACAAAGATCACTCATGCTGGAAGAAAAGATGTTGTTCAGTTGGTACATCAGCAAGTTACTAAATAAAGCACATTTTGTGTCTTGTTTCAGAACCTTGCAGAAACCTCACGCATGAGGTTTTGACTGGTTGTTTGTAACAGGTATAAAATAGAACATGCTCATGCTCTTCAGATAAATATCCAAAGAGCGCTTCAGTCTTGGATCTCAGAAACCAATTACCAGTTCCTTCAAAACTTTGATCAGAAACCAATTACTGGTTCCTTCAAAACTTTGATCACATGGACCTTTGAATACCAGCTACACTTTGGAAAAACAGAGTAATTTCAAAAATGGTGTTTGAAATCCCACCTGCAGAACTTAGTCATAGAAGTCAGGCTCTGCAGTTCTGTTTAATCATTGAGGTGACAAAAATATGCATGTTTTCAGAAACAAACTTCTTTTCTGTGTTGTGATTTGACTAGGAATAAGAATAGTAGTAGGGAAAAGCAAATTAAAAGCATCCTGTTATAAACACAAGGTTATGAGCAGAAAAGGGAATATTTAGATTTTGTATTTGTGGTGAAAGTTGATCTGTGGTAGTATTTTATCTTGTATAAAATCTGAAGAGAAGAATTAAGACAGCCCTCAGGATATCTGTTGTTCTCTCTACTTCTCCCAGTATGAGTTTAACACCTAACCCTGCACTTGAGCAAAAGATCTAATAGAGAATAATGAAGTTACAGAAACAGTTTGGTTTGTGCCTCCTTTTATACTTTCAGGTATGTTCTTCATGGTTGAAATGACAGCTCAGACTAGAATGCCAGGGGAGAATTTTCACAGAGCCTTCTGTTTCAACTCAGTGAAAATAATATTTCTGTGTTCCATGAGCTGTCAGATAGGACAGACTCCACTTCCAGAGCAGTCCAGAAAATTCCACTTTTCTGAATTAATGTGTAAAGGGACCTCTTCCTTCAACACAGAAAAAGCACATTTCCTTTCTTCCGCCTTGGAATGCTGTGACCAGACTCAAGCAGCAGATTGCTGTTAGAAATATTCAGTTGCTAACTTCTCAGCATGTTTTTCCTTGATCTTTCTCTGCCTTTGGAAAATTTTTTTTGCCAAGGCGTGTTACAAACAGACTCACTTAGAAAATAAAACACATCATTCTTAAAAATGATAATTTTAAGGGACAAAGATAAGATGACAAAAAATGGTGAAAAAATAAGTTCACATCCATCACTGCTTTATTTTTTATCCATTATTCAACAGGGAACTCCAGTTTGGAATTCCTGTCACAGATGAGGATGGAAAAAGACTGGGTGATTCATCCAAAGCAGCTCAGCAGGCAATCACCCAGGTGGTGATATCCAGGATTCTGATGGCTTCTCCTGGCATGGGTAAGGATAAGTCCTGTGCAGTCCTGATTATCAGTTCCTGCTGTGAGAAGGAGATTCAGTTCTATCCAAGTGATTTTCCTCAGGGTCCAAATTACCTTGCAGTTCCCCAGGCAGTGTTTGCCTTTCTGTTAAGAACTTCCCCAGGGAAATGTGGAAACATCCCTTGTGTTACACTGAACTGCAGCAGGAAAGCTCCTGGGATGCTTGTGCGGAAAAGATACAGATAGCAAAGGAATGGGAGCAAATTCCACTTGCTTGGAGTTGGTTTAGGTTCTCTGTAAGTGTCAAATAACTGAACTCAGGTTTAGTTACATTTGAAATTGCAGGTTTTGCTTATTGGGAGAATTCACCTTTGTAAATACCAATCCAGCTGGCAATGTGAAATGAAAATTCAGTGAATGACAAAAGGCTGTGAAAATTGTATCATGGTATTAGTTCTGCTAGAGAGAAAATGAAAACACAGTGCTTTTCTCTCCAAGGTTAATGCCTTTTTTTATCTTATTTGCAGCAATTCCTCCCTTCATAATGAATACCCTGGAAAAGAAAGCCTTTTTAAAGGTTAGTCTTAGATAATCCATCTCTGTTAATATTTTAATGAATTTTAAATACTTCCTGAATCTTCATATTTGCCTCCCAAACACTGTGGGAGGACATCCCTGTAGAGCTTGCTTTACAGCTGTCGCTTTCCTTCTGCCTTTCTTAGAGATAACTTGGTTCTTTTTGTCACAGTGCAAGGTAACATTGAGAAAACAGGAACATTTGTGTTACTTTTAGAATTGTTCTAGGGGTGCACATTTCCTCCTGTGAAATAAACCTTCCTTGTACTGAGTCTTGGAATACAATTTATTGAGGGAAAAAAAAGAACATTCTAATAATGCTGGTTTTCTCAAGATAGCAATAAGGATGCTTTGCTTACCTGCTGTAGTAGAATTCTGAGTTTGGGAACAAAAATGATGGCAAAAATCTCTCTTGAAAATGGTCCTTTAAAATTTACTGGATGTAAAGTGCAGGGTAGGCATAGAATGGGAATTCTTTATCAAAGATTACTTATTTCCTATATTCTTTTTATGCTAATGTAGCATGAAGTCAAACTCCTGGTGTTGGTAAATCCATTACCTACATCAACATCCTGCACTGTGTGTGCATGAGAGGGTAAAGAACAATAATGGAATTAGTTACAGGGTTGTCTAACACAAGGGAAATAATATTCAGGTGAGGAGGAACCCTTCAATTCTTTACCAGTAAAAGTAGTTTCATCCTCACTGCTGATATCACTGGTTTAATTACTTGGTAGCTCCAGGCAAAACCTCTGCCTCTGAGACCCACCCAAGAAGCCTAAGAAAATCTGTCTCCTTCCTGTTAGAAAAAAATGGGAATAAAATCATAGAGTGAGTCTGGAGACCCTGCCTTGGAAAAGTTTGTGTGGGGACAAGGAAGACAAGCAGGGGAAGATTTTGTTTGGAATGGTTTTGTTTGTCTAAGATAAAGCTTTCTAAAGTGCTTAAATTTTATCTCTGACTATTTCTACCCTTTGTGTCTCTTGTGCAGAGTGAGATGACCCAGTTAGACACCCCACTTGAAAGTGTTTCTGTATTTATAAGGCAGGAACAGATTGCCTGGGGTAGTTGTGGCTGCCCCATCCCTGGAAGTGTCCAAGGCCAGGTTAGAAAGGGCTTGGAAAAACCTGGGATAGTGAAGGGGGTAGGACTGGACAATGTTTAAACTCCCAACCCAAACCATTCTGTGATTGTCTTCCAATCTTAAAACTTCTTTTTCCCTAAAGTGCTTTGCTTCCCTCCCACTTGTTAACAGAAAACACTTTTGCTCACAGTGTAAAAACAGGAAATGTGGCGTTTGAGTTTCAGGGTAAAAATCAGTGTGTGCTGCTTTTATCTCCTGGAAGAAGTGAGCCTGCAGGGCATCCAAACACACCACAACTTGTGATACTGTGATGTTCTTGAGAATGTATTGCCTGGAAAATTAACCCTTGCTAAAAAAGAAAAAAAATTGGGAAAAAATTATTTATTATGTATTCGACATATGAAAATGCCACAAAGCCATTGCCTCAGCTGACAAATACATGACATTTGTGAAGAAGTTGCAGCAATCTCAGGGTCTGGAGACAAATACCTGTTGTTTTTGTGTGGTGTAATCAACATAAGGGTGTTGTGAATTTTTCAGATCAGCCAAAATGAGCGATTTCTGCAGTGACTACTCAGTGGTCTCTGGTACCATCCTGACCGTTTATGCTCACCTGTCCTCTCCCTCAGCCTCAGAGACTGAATCCAGGTGAAACACTGCTCTGCACGTAGCCAGTGGTAACACCTGGTAGAGATTACTATTAAATCCATTAAGGAATCAGCTGCATTCTTAACAAGCAGCTTCTGCATGTCCTCGTGGAGTTTGAGAAGCACGATCCCATCCCAGCACTCCACCACCATCCCCACACTGCTTTACTAACTTTACCCTTGGCCTCTGCTTCGCTACCACTCCTGGAAATAACTCCTGGCTGCTTGCCAAAATCTATTAAGCAACACACAAGGCCAAAAAATTGGCAAATGGTTGTGAAATGATTAAAGAAATTAGAAAGCTGGCCTGCAGTAAGGCAGAGAGAAGGAAATGCTTCTGGAATGTTGGTCTCAGAGCAGCCTGTCATCCTCTGATATTTGGGATAAGATGTAGGTCACGTAGCCCAGCTCATCCCCCACATTCCCACAGTGTTTTGCACCAAGACATTGGTGTGAATTAACAACATTCCCAGAAGTTATTGCTAGAAGATGCCTCAAGAACATTCTTGGAACACAAGCACCTCTTTACTTCTTCAAAAAGAAGTTGCCTTGAAAAAGTATTTTTATCAGTAGAAGTGCTTTTGCCATAACTTTCAGCAGCAGCTTTGGGGCCTGTTTATGTTATTATGCAGCATAGCAGTAATTGATTGGGCTGCATAATGTCTGTTTTCATTAGCCCTACAGCCCCTTCATTATCCTGACCAGCTCTGTGCAGAGCCAAGTTATTTTACCTGCTGCAGCAGGAGGATCCATAAAAAGCCTTGCCCTGAGGCACAGGGTTTCTAGATTTTACTTACAGCTAACTTTTCTCCTAAAGAAATAAATTGGTTTTTTCCATAGAATCTTATGTAAGTTCCAATCAACACTAAAGTTTTTGTTTATATTACTACTCTTACACAGCTTTAGCTACAGCTTCTCTTCTGTTCTGCATATTGTATTAACATCCAAGTTGATTCTAGAAGTTACTTCGTATATTCTTGAAACAAGCTCCTTGGGATCTTTTAATCTGCAGCTAAAATCTGTATTCAAAACGGTTACAAAACCAGAACAGAGAGCTTTTTCCTTCAAGCATTGTTCTTGAATGTCTTATGCCCTGAAGTCCTCCATGCATTCCTAATTTCACTGTCATTTCATTTATTTATTTTTTTGAAAACAGGCATAGCTGGCCTGGGAAAGCTGACAGATTTTTAGGTCAAATGAAGAAAGGAGGCAGTTAGAGAAAAGCCAATTCTCCTTATGGCTTTTGTTTGCTTAATTATCATTTCTCCATTTTCTCTGTTTGTACTAACCACTAAAATGTCATAAAGACATCTGGAAATTAAATCCTAATTCATTGGGAGCTGCCTTCTTCCGGAGTTAAATGATAGTTCTCTACCACAGTGAATTCTTCTGCTCTTTCTTTCTCTTGTAGTTTCTCCATTTTCTCTCTTTGTGAGGGTGTGCAGCCTGCATTTGAATTTTGTTTTATTGTTTTACGTTGTTCCCTGGGCAACTCCAATTCTTAATTCTGACCTCCCATCTTTCTGGATTATTGCAGCCTGGTAACAGTCTTGAAAAATAAAGGCTGTCATTCATCTCAAGTTAGCAAAAAATGTTCCAGCACAGAAATTCCATGTTCTTTATGGAGTCTGTATTAGACATGTCTCTCTCTCTCTCAGATCAATGACTAACTCTGACAAAGGCATGAAACCATTTGTTCCTCTCAGGGCACCTTCCAACAGCCTTTTCAGTTATAAAATTGTATTTGGGGCTTTTCTGTTACATGCCTTGGGTCCCACACTCGCCCTGCAATGCACAGCATCCCTCTCCCTCCCTTCTGAGGCAGTGCAGGGTTTGGGTTTGGCTTGTGTTCACCACCTCTTGGCATGGACTCTTCCAGGGTAGGAAATGAAAATTTGGGGTGAATTTATCTCAGCTGAGGCTCAGATGGAGGTGTTTAAAAAATGCCAGAACTGCAAAGCTCTGCTGCCTTCACTCTTCACCCTTCTTGCTGTTGTGTATCCCTATTTGTTATCTCTTGTTGCAGGTTATTGCTGAATTGCAGTTCTTCCTGCACTCATTTCTGGATTACAGATCAACTCCATGAAAAAACAAATTAAAGAAAAGAGAAGCAGTCTTCTACATTGTTTCTTCTCCCCCAGGCTCTGAAGAAATTTTCCTCCACGCAGGCTCATTTTCCCTGCCTCGGACGCTGCTGTGACCTCCTTCAACCCTGAGCTTTGTCCTCCTGAGCTTTCTACATTTCCTTTATTCATTTCTACTCTCAAACATGCCCAGCTTTTGTTCACCATTTTCCCCTCTAACTTCTACATCTTGAGAAATTCTTCTTGCAGGAACAAACGTCATCTTCATTGAAAACATCGCCCACTGTATCTAGTGATTCTTACCTCCTGAGCTGTTTTGTATTAAAATTCCCTTTGTGTCCTCATGTCTGTCCTGCTCATAGTGGAGCAAGAGGCAGCAGTGTCCATTGAACAGCTCTGGGTTTACTTCATTAGTAATGAATTCTAACTAAAATTCTACCAATGAGAAAGACTGGATTCCTAAATAATTTTAAAAGCCTGCAAAAAAAAGTTCTTGGCATGTATTCAGGTTCTGTAAAAGTTACAGAATTAATGAGGCATGTAGGTTATGTGTTGCTTTCTCAGCTTTGTTTTCCCAATCCTTCAACCCTTCTTTCCTTCAATAAAAGGTGAGCTCTTGCAGAACTGGAGTGTTGCTACAGGGACAAGTTCTGCACATCAGGGGAAATCATGACAGGAGAAAAGGCTAAGAGAGGCAGATTTACATCTCCCTTATTTATGGCTGGTGGCTTTAGTTGCAGGTTAAAACCATTTGATGCCACCAAAGGGAAGGAGCTGTAACTAAACTGAGCTCTTCCTTGGAATGTCTGGGCAAAATTCCCTGTGCCCTGCAGAGGTGTGGCAGGACCACTCCAAATTTCTGCTCTGTTGGTGCTGTGGCCTTGTGAGAATCAAAGCAGAGGCCCAGGAGCAGGTCCTGTGTCAAACAGCCACGCACTCCTTGGAGCTCCTATGGGACTCTTAGTCAGGATCACCCTCTACATTGATTCCCTTGGGAATTTATTTGCTGCTTCCCAAAGGGATTTGGCTCTCAAACTGGAGCTCAGCATGAAGTCACACTGGTCAAGGGTTTTGCCTTCACATCTCAGAGTCTTTCAGGTGCAATCTGTCTCTTGTAAAACAAGAATTCCAGGAAAAATCCACACTCACTCTGTATGGTTTTATTTTCAACAGAGATTTCCTTGGCTGAGCGCTCCCATCCAGGTTGGATTAGTTGGAATGTGGTAAGTGGTTTCTTTGGGTTGGGTCTGCTATCTTAAGAGATACTTGTAGGGGGTTTGAGAATGCAGCAATATTTGCCTTTTTTTTAAGGAAAAAAGGTTGAGAGAGTTGCTGGGGGGACAGCAGCTATTTCCATCTCTGTAACTGGTAAAATACCATGTTAAAAACAAAAAAGCCATTAGCAGGGAAGAAGCTGCCAAGAAAAGCAGAGGGAGGGAGGAAGGGAGTGGCAAAAAAAGGAATGTGGCAGTTTGATTAGAAAAGATGCTTTGGCTGCTACCTCTAAACAGTCAGTGGAATCTCATCCTGGAGGATTGATGACTTCTTGAAACATTTGGTTAATAGGGTTTAATTTGCTGTGTTCTGGCATTTTCTGTTGTCCTGCACACAAATGTAAGGCACTGTAAGGACATCAAATGTAATTTTAGACGAATTGAAACATTTAGTGCTATGTGTAGGTAAATGATTTCATAAGGTAAAATGCAGTGAGAAGTAAAAGTGACATAGCACTTTGTAGAACTTTATCTCACTGTGTACAGAAAACTAGAAAGCTTTTTACCTAAATCATAATTTTTGAATTCTGTTTTAGTACTCTAAATGTTGTAAACCTATTTTTGTCTCCTCTAGTCTCGTGTTTGCAACTCCCCTGTGTTGTGCACTGTTTCCTCAGAAAAGGTGAGTACTGCTGTGAATTATTGTCATTTTAATGTTATTCCAGATCCTGTCATGGTGCTGAACACAAACACGGGGTCATTGCCTACTCAAGCACAGTTTTAATTCCAATATAACAAAGGTGGTAAACAAAAGAATATACAGAAAGGTAATAACTATGTTATCCATCAGTAATATAATATAGTTGTTTACAAACCCCAGAAGCTCAAGATGAGTTCTATACAATATGTTCATGTCCAGTAAAGTTATGGATGCACTAAATACAGTCAGAGCCCATTTTATTTTCAGCTGGAAACTCTTCTAGTTATACAGAACAGCACTGGACTATCTGTGCTCATTTGTTATTTAATATTTTTCCAGACTTTTTCATCAATACAAAAATAGCTCAGTACTGGAAGCTGTCTTAGAAACAATATTCATTATAGCTGAAATCAGCTGAATATAGCTGAATGAGTTACTTAACAAAAAACTTAGCTCAGTTTGGTACATAGTATGGACGGGGCCTTAAATTCAGCTGTCCCTCTCTCATTTTAACAGTGGTTGTTTAAACTCAACAAGCTGCCAGACGTACCTTCAACAACCCAAACTTGAGTTGAGTCCATTAAAATGCTGAACAACTAAGGCAGTTTTTGACTTCCAGAAAACAATAGCCAATCCCCAGTATTGTTTGAGTACAACAAAGCTGCCTGACACCATCTGTCTCCCTGCTTGGCCTAGGGCAGAGAACTGTGGTAAACAAGTGTCACTAGGCTACCTGGAGATGACTTAACAAACCAACCCAGCACACATGCTACAGTTCTTGATTTCAGCCAGGGCTCTCCAGTTCAGAGGAAGATTAGACCTTGAACTGTGTTCAGGAAATTGCAGCTGTTCAAATGACCTGGCTGCTTAATTCACTTTACTGTGAACCAGCTCTCAGGAAAACAAACCTGTTACTCAGATGAGTAAAATCATGTAGGAAGTTAAATAGGCAAATACATTATATTTAATAAAAACTCTTTTAGAAAGGTAAGTTTCTATGGCCAGCAACAACCTGAGCAATGAAGTGGATCCTTACCCTCATGACAGTAGCAACAGCCATTTCCTGACTCCATAGACTGTCCTACTGCCCCGTGAAGCAGGGATTCATGTGCCCTGGCCTGTAAGCCTGCTTCCTTGATAAGATGTTTTAAAAGATCTGAAAACTCTTTTGACCAGGTAGGAAGTTTAACCAGATGCATTTCCATCTTATTTTCCCTTGTGTGCTTGTTTGATGTAACCCCTTTGCTGTTTCTTTCGCTCAGTTCAATGTCGGTGTCACGCTTGGAGCCCGATTTGCAAGCCAGGATCAAAGAAAACAGCCCTGGCCTAGAACGTGTGTACTTCAATAAAGGATTATAACTCAAGGAAGGCAAAGTATTTTTCAAGGAAACACTTGTGAACTTATTTTTTGAATTGTGTGCCAACACAGACAAGAACACACCTTTATCTTGTCCTTTTGTTAAACAAGTTTGATCATCTGCATTATTTTACAGTTAAAGACTTTCCTCAGTGTAGTGTTTAAATTACATAAGGCCACTTTGTCCACTTTGGTATTGTTTAAAAGTTTAAACATATATATGCAGAGATGTTTACATAAGTTCTCAAGCAGCTACAATAACAATAAACAAGCGCACCATGAAAACCAAATGCTATTATATTGGATTTGCCACCTGTTCCAGTAATAGCGGGGCAGGACCTCCTTTTGAAAAGTCACAGAGCAACTGAACGAAGTTGCCAGCCTCTGGCAGCCGCAGGACGGGTGGCTGAACGTGTCAGGATGTTGTGCAGGAAGGGCTTTTTGCCAGGAGGCTGATTGGGCTGCAGGTTTTCCCTGTTGGCACAGAAGCGTTTCTTGAGGGTGGACGTTGGCGCCTGCAGTTTCTGCACCGTGTGGTACTGCTCAGCAATGCAGGCCGCCTTCTTGCGCAGGTCCAGCTTCACCAGCATCATGTTGTTCTGCAGCTCTGCCAGGGTCTGATCCTGAGGAAGGCAAGGCAAGATATATTTAGATTAAAAAAATACATAAAAATATCAAATCATAGAAAGAGAAGCCCATTCCTAGTTGGAACAGACCTTAAGGATCCTCTTGTTCTCTGCTGTGGACAGGGACAGCTTTTACTAGACCAGCTTGCTCCAAAAGCCCCATTCAACCTGGCCTTAAACTCTTCCAGGGATGGAGCAGCCACAACTTCTCTAGGAAATGTGTTTTCATTTCTTCAGCACCCTCACAGTAAAGAATTTTTTCCTAATATCTAATCTGAAGTGTGAAGCTATTCCCCCTTGTCATTATCTGCTCTCACAGAATCTCTCCAGCTTTCTTGTAGGCTCCCATCACATACAATGACAAGTTGTCTTAACTCCCTGGTTACTGTGAACTGAGTAAGATAAACTGCCTTTTGCCAGAATTCACAAACTCTTCCAAATAAGACCATGCATAAAAGCTTCAACAGTGTAGCAGTTCAGTAACATATAGGAGCAGTAAGGGTAGGACAAAGCTGTCTCCATCCTGCTACAAATATGCTGCCATAGCAACTGTGATGGAGTGGATAAGGAAATGAGAGCTCTAAATTCTCCTACTTTAAGTACAGGCTGCCAGTTAACTGAACAGGAACAATTTGGGTCTCCTGTGGAGAGGTAAATATACAACTGACTCAACCATTGAAAAAATCAGCAGTAGAGCTCCCTTCACAAAACATATACTAGCAAATAAATCATTTTTATTTGCAGCAGCAAGAACTTTGGTTGCTCTGATTATGGCAAAGCACACAGATTAAACCCCTCTCCCCCATGCAGCACCACACCAAAGCAGACACATCACCTGTCTTGCCAGGATGTCATCACACGTGCCCAGGGCTTCTCGCAGCTTCCCTGCCCCTGTGCTGTGGCAGCACGCCCGCTCTGCAGATTGGAGAGACTCCCCAATTTTTTGTAGCTCTGAACGCAGCAGTCTGACATTCTAGAAGAGAGGGGTTTAATGCAACAGCTGGTTTTGGCACTGCTCTGCAAACAAAGCCACTCCAAGGTAATTCAGACATGCAACACTGAGGGAGGATCCCATCTGAGTGATCACAGATTCAATAACTCCCATAAATTCAACAAACCCATTCCATTTGTTTAAAAACCTGGAAATAGCAGCCCCAAACACTGTTTAAGCTGGCAGCCCCTTTGCCCTGCATATGTTCTTTTCTGTAATTCAGAACTGGAGTTACCTTCTGTCCATCCTGCAGCTTCCTGTCCACATCCATAGTAATGGGTTTGGCAGAGGGAGGTGGCTCCACTAATTTCTGGTATTTGCGCAACTCTAGGAACAGACAAAAAGTAGTGAGCAACAGGACATTGATCAACTTTCAGTATTCCTGAAGTTCAGGACTTCCTTTGAGACAAGCTGCTACAGGCAAGCTGTCAAGACCTTTTGAGTTTGTGCACAAAGGCACAAACATTCCAGGCTTCTCCCATTCACTCAGACAATGGGACTTAAGAATTTGAATGGAAAGATAATCCTGCCCTAAAGTCCATTTTCCTGTGAAAATGAAGTGAAACTGCCCATCCAGCACATTATTCCTGTCACCTACAACTCAAATTATGTTTTCAGGGTGTCTGAATCCAATATACCCTGAAGAAAGTCTCTCTAACCCTTCACAAAGATCTCTCAGCACGGTTCAGAACTGGTGCAGTGTTGCTGCCATACCTGCGCTTGTGGAATTCAGCTCCTTTTGACACTGCTCCAGCCTGGCTTTGGTATCTGCCAGCTCTTGCTGCAGAGCAGATGAGGTGGCCACTCGCTTGGATCGACGTGCACTTTGTTCCACGTCCTTTTGCTTGGTATCCAGGCTCTCCAGTTTTTGTTTGGTCTCCTGCAGAGCAGCTTTGAGCTCCAAAATCTCCTCGTCACGCTCCTGAGAAAGGAAGTTTGTTCAGTCAACAAGATTTTCATAGCACAACTGGTCTGAAACTTTCTATGTCTTTATTCCTGGAGAATTTCTCAATCTCACACTTCACACACTGAACCCAGATTTTAAGGTCCTTTCAAATGAATACAGCAAACCCATTTTCTGGGAGCCCAAACTGCTTTTTTACAGGCTCTAAAGAGGGATTGTTTTGAGAGTTGGCATCTTCAGAGCAGCCTGCAACAAGTCCCAGAGGTCACTCAAATGCCATAGGCGTGAAAATACGGACAGGTCCATACCCATCATCACAACTAAGAGCAAGAAGAGAAACTGACACAACTTGTGTGAATCTGAAGAGCCCAAATCAAGCCACTAGTGAAAAGAGTAATGGGGGGAGAGAATCATGTTGAACAAATGGACGAGTCAGGATGGTTGTACATTAGCTTCCAGACTGAGTGTTCAAAATTAGGAAGCCTAGTGGGCTGCATAAAGTAGGAGACAAGAAAAATTGTGGATCAAGAGATGAAACAGTATCACAAAAAATACCTCAGAAAGCAAAATCTTTCACTTTACAGGAAGATCTTCCTGGACCAAAGTATCCAGAATCCCCTCCCAAGCCCACTGCTGCTGCCCTGATGTCATTGCATTGCCCTGAACAAACCTCCATCTTCTCCTGGTAGTGGTCAGTCAGTAACTCCTTCAGGATGGTCATTTTACCCTCATACAGTTCCTCCAGCTGCTCTCTTTGAGCATCCACGTGTTGGCTACAAAGAGAACAACCAATTCCATGTCAGGATCTGGCAGTTCTTGGTGCTGCAGCTCATCCTGAGCACAGGGAGGGAGACCAGCACAGGCTGTACCTCCACCACTGCTCCTTCTGTTGCATGTGCTCCAGCATCTCATTGCAGATCTCCTCACGCAGGCGCACCTCGAGCTGCAGCTTCTTCTGCCGCTCCTGCACCAGCAGCTCTCGTGCAGCTTCAACCACACGCAGCAAGTCCTGCAAGAGGGACACAGCTTCACTGCCCACACTGCACAGCAGAGCTAAGACCTGGAGTAAACTAAGTGATCCCATGTCTGCAGGATGCAGTGATTTAGGTTTAAGGGTTTAGTCACTTGGAAAGAGAAATTGCCATGGTTTGTTACCTTAACACATGACAGCTTGAGTCTCTTGCTTTCATCTTGATCTTCCAGCTATCCTAGCTGCCTGCTTTGAGTATCTAGGAAGTTTGATTATTTTTTCCCCATTTAGCCTCCTGTTCTGTATGTTTTCTAGATTTCCCTTACAGAGAAGGAATTACAGGCCTGCACCTGCACTGTTACTGCCACTGTTCCACAGATAAGAAAGTGCTTCCAAATTCAGCATGTGTGTCAGATTTAGACCAACTACAGAATGTTTTTTTCATGGATTCCCAATTTCCTTTGTCCTATATCCTTCTGAGGTTGTGTGTCTTCTCTCTTGGCGTAGTGCTGAGCTCCAATCCCAGCTCCCCAGGCCAAAGCTAACAGTCATGTTCTTGACCTTGCATCTGCATTAAAGGCTGTAAAACAAATCACAACCCACCTTCTTCTCATACATGGAGACATCTGCCTCATCATCCTCAGTGTCGTCTTCTGATTCCACATCTTCCTCTGGCTCTGCCTCTGGCCCCTGGCTGATTCGCCTGTTGTGTTCTTTGATGATGGATTGTAAGGATGGAAGTCCCAGCTTTGTGGGAGGTGCCTGAACAAGCTGAAGGGGAAAAGACCAACCATTATCAGTCTGCAAGGCCTGGAAGTTGTGTAGTCTTTAAACACAGCCCCTCTCTGCAACCTGTCAGCCTTTCAGTTTAGCAGAATCTGGAAATACTCTGGAGGTAAGAACTACTGGAGAAGCACAGGGAAGATGTACAAGCATTCCCCCTCTCCTTGTGGTGGGAAGGGGCCGAGTCCCACAGAAGCAGGAGAAACCCAAGCTACCCTGACCATGCCACAATCCTGCTGTGTGTTATTCACCTGGCTGGCAATGGCTGAGAACTTGGCTACGTGCAGAGTCTCATCATAGGTGGATGCACACTGGTTGATGTTGACAATCATGCAGGAACGCCCGCGCCCACTGAAGAAGCCCTGGAACACGCGGGTCAGTTTGCTGTCCCGGAACGGAACCACTGCCTGCTTTGTCCTGTGGGAGAGACAGCAGTGAGCTGGGAAAGCAAAAAAAGAAACCCACATCCTCCCTCTGGAGGTGTGGATGCTCACCTGGCCTGCTGGTTCTGGCGGAGGGCGGCGATGCAGCGGCCCAGGGTGTGCAGGGAGGTGTTGATGTTGTTGGCTTCTTTCATTCGGTCCCCGCTTTTCTGGTCCTTGCAGCGTTCGGACCCTGCCAGGTCACACAGGGATAACCTGAGGGAAACACAGTGATGTTCACATCACTTACAAGGTTTGTCCTGCCATAGCAAGTTTACAGTTCAGACACCCTGCAGTCACCTTCCCAGCTTCCCCATAAATGTACAGACCATTCTTTTGGGGTGCCTTGGGCTGTTAATGGATTGAAGGCCCTGCCCTAAGTGTAGGTGTTACACAAAGTAGCAGCAAAACGAGTTTTGAAGTGTCAACTTCAAAAATCCTTTGCCAGTCCTCAGAACAGCCACTTTCCAGACAACTACATCCCAGAAACAGGCATCAGCCACACACATTGCATCATCAATAATGCAATGGTAAGGATGCTCACATTTACCTTCACTCAAAAAGCCTGAGAACCATCTCAAGTTGTATCTTGCAGTACTCTTCAAACTCCTGTCAGTTCCAAGATTTAATACTGGGAGTGTACTTTCAACAACACCATCATCAAGATACTTTCCGTGCCTCAGGCTCTCAACCAAAGAGCCAAGAAAGTTGAGATTACACCCAAATCCTAAAAAACATGAAACTTACTCGCTGATTTTTGGAACAACATCACTGCCACCTCTTTGCAAGTGCAGAATCCGAATGGAGAACACACAGTGACTGTAAAGAAACATGCAAATATTAAAAATTTTTAAAAAGCAAGCTTTAAAAGCCCCTCAGAATTGTATTTCTGCCTAAACAATCCCTCTCTTTTCAGACCTGCGACTGGAGTTCTGGTTCATGTGGGTGCTCGCAAAACTCTGGTTTTTCCGACCCAGTTTCAGGAGCTTCCAGGCCTCATCAGCATCCCGGACATTGATCCAGTTCAGATCTGGAGAACAAACATGCATTGGGCACAGCAGTTGGGAGACTGGCAGAAAACTTACCTTAGCCCCAACTTCACCATTGCATGTCTCTGACATCAACAAATTTGACAATCCTGTAATCCCGACATCACAGTTCTCTGTGGGGCTCTCCAGCACATCACTGCTAAGCAACCCACCCACTCAATCCTAAAGCCTTCCCAGCAGGCCACTAAAACTCTCTTGCAGGTAAATCTACCTTTCACATAGGGGTTTCCAGTCTGGTCCTCACAGAGCCGCAGTGTTTGCCGCTTGCGGTTCTGCCCAGCTAGAGCTGGTTCTAACAAGTCATAGATTAACTCGTTGTAAATCTCAAAGAAGGAGACCCAGATGGAGAACTGCACATCTGTGCTGGTGAGTGGAATGTGATCCAGGTCAGCCCAGCAAGGGCCCAGTTCTGGGGAAAAAAGAGGGAAAAAAGAAAGAAAACAAATCACGACTGCAGCTTTTCATCGGTCCAACAGGAATGGAACAGGAGCAAGATACTTTCTTCAGCAATCAAAACCACTCCAGAAACAAATCCTTCTATTTACCTCCTCTCATTTTTAATTTAATGCCCATCCCCAGTGAGACAGCCTAAAGTTTCCTTTAACAGTATCATCTGCTCTGGGTAAGGACTTTTTTATCTCAATTTTGATTCCAAAATTACAAGATATTTCAAACATGAACTCTTTCCAGCATAAATGAAGTTTTAGTCCTTGTTATCTCAATCACTCCATGCTTCTGGATACCTAAGCAGCTGGTAGTTCCTGCATTTGATAGTCAGAGCACAAGTGCTCAGTGAAGCCTGTCACTTTGACATCCTGCTTCCCACCAATCCCCGTCTCGCAGCAATCAGCTGCTCAATAACCACGTTCCTTGAATGAACTGAGTGTCAAATAATTTTTCATTTGACAAGGCTTGGTTATTATGAAGTGGTGAATTCTTCTGATACCGGCAAAACGTATGCAAAGAGTTCTTCTGATGCAGCATCTTTCAATGGGAAAATCTGTATGGCTACAACATCTTTGTTGTGTTCCTTACCCACAACCCAGCATCCAAACAGCCATCACCCTTTTCTTCTCCCATCCTCCAGCAAAAAGAAGCAGGTAGTACACAACAGGCATCCAGAAATACCTTCTGTCTGGCTGAGGTCTGAATGGTTGGTGAGTTGGCTGGATGAAGACAGACCAGCAACTCCACTGTCAAAGCTGCCACTGGTGGTGGCCTGGAGCTGAGATTCAGCACTTTGACTCCTCTTCAGTGGCGTTAGCAGCTCCTCCTTGAAGGAAACAATGAAGAGGAGCAGGCAGGTAGCGTGACAGCGCCCCTTACCTCTTGCTGTTGGACCCCCAGAGACCCCATGCTTACCTCCCAGAAACCCCCCTGCAGCATCATCTGCTTCTTGGTCTCCTCCTGCCGCACCTGCCTGCTGTCCAGCCAGCTCACCTCGTTGGAGAGGACAGGCTTCAGGTCCATGGCCTGGTACAGCCGGTCCCCCACGCTGTTGAAGATGGTTGCCAAAGAGCGAGGCAGAATCCCCCCATCTTGGGTGGTGCCTGCAGCAAGAACAGCAACAAAACTGAGGGTTCAGAGGCAGAAGACAGAAAACAACTCCTTCAACAGGTCCCTGGTGCTTTTCTTACCCTGAATCGTGTGAGTCTTCCCTGAATTGGTGATGCCATAGGTGTAAACCAGACAGTTCTGCCCACCCAGCACATCCTTTATCACCTGCTTCATTGTCTCATCAAAGAACAATTTCTGCCCCACCTCTGGTCCAAATATCTACAAACAAGACACAGGAAAAATGCTTCATGTAGATCTTTCTTGTCCTTTGTGATGGTTGCTCAAGTGATATTGCGTGGTCCTTTGTTCCCTGCACTAGCCACTAGCAAGAGACCCACCAGCAATTCCAGCCGAGCCCCCTACAAAAACAAGCTGTTCATTTGTTTAATCCACTAACATCTCGTATTACTGCAGCCTCTAGTCTGTTTAGAGCTCCATAAACAGGAGTTTGCCATTTGCTGCCAATAAAGAGTTGTCAGAAACAGCTTAGAAAGAAAAAAAAACTAATAAGACAGCAACTAAAACCTGAAGTAGAAAGAATTGTACAAGACTGCAGAGTTCAGGCAGTGTCTTGGGGTCAGTGGACAGGAACAAGACTACTTTTCAAGCTGCAAAGCTGGTTTAAGCTCAAATCACTTCCAGATGGGTTGTTTGTCCCAGCTACCTACCCGGGTGAAGGAGAATCTGTGCACTGCTTGTCCCACTCCTCGCTCCGTGCTCCGCATGGTGAAGGAATTCTTTGGAGCTTTTAGAATAAGAGTTTCTGAGTTCTCAATACAGACACAGCCCTAAAGAACACATAAAATCCATCATTGCTCCTTACAGGAGGATAGACAGCAAAGGACAACAGCATCTCCCAGCAGGCACATAGCCAGCTCAGACTCTGCTTCTTTCAGTGCCTCACCTGGTCTTCCCCCTTTTCCACTTCTGTAGATTTCAGAGGTCGAACTCTGAGGAAGACCTTTAATTTTCCATTATTGTCTTCAGCTACAGCCTGCAAGAATCAGCACAAGTTAAATATGGCTGCCAGAGAGGCAGCACACAACCCCCCATGGGCACACTGAACAGGAACCACAGTATAGAAAACACATGTTGGCTATGCTGCTAGCGCTGAGGAACTCCTCTGGTCCCAAAATCACCACCAATGCCGGAAGCTTTCTTAGGCATTTCCAAGCACATCCACATTTATTTTGTCTGTTTATCTAATGGATCAGACAAAAAAGCTGAAGCCCTGACACCAAAACCAAGCATCAGCCCAAGAGGCACCTGCTGCCCCCTGCTCTCTCAGGAACTGCTCCCCTCAATGCATTTTGTTCCTGCATTACACCACCTTTTTACAGGAAACAGCAGCCATGGGTGAAAACACTACCCTGTTTGTGACAGAAGAGCTCCAACCTCACCTGAGAGCCCTCCAGGTTTGGGGAGATGACAGAGAACTCTGGCAGCAGGTCCTTGCGCACGTCAGCCCCAAACCCTGTTGCTGTGGACTCGAGCACAGGGGAGGCTGCAGCTTCATCGTCAGAAAACAGCCCTGGGGAGGCAAGTACTTGTGCCATGGTGCCTCACAGGGCTCCTGGGGAAAAAGGGGCACAGGACAGGGCGATGTTAGAGCAATGCACACATGCAATCCCTGCCACATGCATCAGTCCCCACAAACGTGGATCCCCACGTGGAACCCTCCCTACACACAGGATGCTGCTTCTAAATGTGCACACGTATGCGCTCCCTGCACACAGGGAAACCACACAGGACCCCGGCCACAGACCGTGCACACACAAACACTGCTCAGGACTCTAAACCCACCTCCTGGACATAGGGACACCACAAAGGAATCCTTCACGCACACAGACCACCTCTACACCCCTCTAACACACGGTATCAAACAGACCTAACGCATACACCAACCACCACACGGGACACCCCCAAACACGGAGCTCCACACCGCCCCCACACACACACCCAAGCACCACTCGGGACCTGGCCGCACACACAGAGACCCACCGCCAGCTGCCTCTCTCTCACCGCTCCAGCCCGGCCGCCCTTCTCACCGCCCCTCGCCGATGCTCGGCGTTTCAAACCTCGCCGCCCGCCCGCTCCGCCAATGAGAGCACGGCACGAGCGCCCCGCAACCAATCAGCGCCCACCGTTGGGGAAGAGGGGGCGGGACCCGGACAACCGGCCGCCCGCGCGCGCGCACACGGAAGGGGGCGCGGCCCAGCCGCCTCCCGGCGGGCTTTGCGCGCGGTGCCGCCCCTGTCGCCCTCAGGGCCGGGCGGGGAAGATGGCGGCGGGGCCGGGGAGTGAGTGCGAGGCTGGGTGGGAGACGCGGTGGGGAGCGAGCGGCGGCGGGGCTGGGGAGGAAAAGAGGCAGGGGAATGGCCCGAGGAGAACGGAGCGGTTGCGACGTACCATCCCGGGAAGAGCCGACGGTGGGGCGGGCGGGGCGGGGCCAATGGGTCCGGGGAGGAGCGGGGCCAAAGAGCACGGGAGGGGCGGGACCAGACATGGGAACCGCGGGTTCGAGTCCCGGTGTGCCCGGGCACTGCCCCCGCGCACTCCTACCCTGTCCCGCAGAGCACAAGCTCCTGAGCGCCGGCCCCACCGAGCCCTGGTCCATCCGCGAGAAGCTCTGCCTGGCATCCTCCGTCATGCGCAGCGGCGACCAGAACTGGTACGGGGAAGGCGGGCGGCATGTGCAGAGCACCGGCACGGGGCTCACCCCGCTGCCTCTGTTCAGAACAAAGGTGGGGTGTAAGAGTTGTTGAAGGTGGACTTGGGCAGGCATTTTGTTGCCTTCATAACTATTGTGTAAAAGTAGAGGTGTGTTAATCAAAATAAAGCGTGTTGAGAGCTTTGATGAGAGAGAGGGACTTTGCACAAGAACATGAAGTGTCAGGACAAGGGGGAATGGCTTCAGACTGACAGAGGGAGGGTTAGGTTGGAGATTAGGAAAAAATTATTTACTGTGAGGGTGGTGAGGCACTGGCATAGGTTGCCCAGAGAAGCTGTGGCTCCCCATCCCTGGAAGTGTCTATGTGCAGGTTGGATAGGGCTTGGAGCAACCTGGGATAGTGGAAGATGTCCCTGCCCATGGCAGCGGGTTGGAACAAGATGATCTTTAAGATCCTTCCCAACCCGTTCTGTGATTCTGTGTTTATAATTAGATGAGGTGAGCTGTGGACAACAGAGATACTTGGTAACAGATTTGTGTGCACTGAACCTATAGCTCTGTTTTACTGTTTTTCTCCTCACTAAAGTAAGGGTTTTGTGGAAATGTAATCATGTAACCTGATGCAAGAAACTTGCTTTTCAAAGCAAAGGAGTGAAGTTGCTGTTTGTTAGAAGCAGGCAAATATTTTTTAGACTTGTACAACTCCTTGGTGAGTTCATCATGTTTAGCAGGGTTATGCAATGATGTTAAGAGAGGTTTTCATCTGTTCTCTGCATGTTGGTGGGGGGAGAAGGTGGTGACTTGCCATTTCCCTCCCACAGGGTCTCAGTCAGCAGAGCAATCAAACCTTTTGCAGAGCCAGGACGCCCACCTGACTGGTTTTCCCAAAAGGTAAGACACTGACATTTGAATCTTGGACACCAAACCTCTGCACAATCAGAAATGCCATATTGAGGATGAATTAAGGATTAATTGTTCAGTACTTTATCCAGTACACAGTTATCAAGTAAGACTAACTAAAGAGATTCTTCACTAGCCATGTGATTGAGCTGTGAAGTTGCTTGCCTCAGGAATTTGTGCATGTCCATATATTTTGGTGTGTCCTGCTGTTTGGGCAAGCAAACTCTGACTTCCTCTTTTTCTTCTCAGCACTGTGCATCTCAGTACTCAGAGCTCTTGGAGACCACAGAGACCCCTAAGTGAGTACAAAGCCTGACCCCAGCACAGCCTGCAGCAGCTGAGGGGGCACTTGTGGGTTCTTACAGCAAAGTCCTTGTCACTGTTAAATTACTGTTCTCCCTCCTCCCAAAAGGAGAATTTCAGAATGAGAAAATTCAGGTGGAATAGCTGTTGTGGGACAGTGGGATCAGGGTTTGTCAGATGGGAAAGATAATATTTATTTGGCTGGAATAAAACACTGCATGTTATTGATCTTACTGATCAGAAGCTTTATACATAAATTTATCATTCAGAATAAGGGTAGAAGAGAGAGTGGGTGAGAAGGGAGATGTTTTGTATTTGTCACTATTTTGCAGTGGTTTCTTACAGTTTTCTTATCAGTGTTATTACTAGAGCTCTGGGATCTCAGTTACTCTTCTAATTCTAGGCATTTTATTTGGGGACTTCAAATGATATAAACTTAAAGATGGGATGTTTAAAAGTAATATTTGTGTGTGACTGATTCGTTTGTGAATGATCTTCAGCACTGGAGTTACAAAATCAAAGGACTTAGTAGAGTTAGTGAAGAAAAAAAATAAATGTTTTTTCCTGGGGAGAAAAGAATTTCCTCTTGAAGGAAGGATTATTTTCAGGTTGAAAATTTTTTGTGTTCTTGCATCTTTGATCTGTTCTTGAAGATTTTAACACTAGGTGAATTAGCAAAAATTTGCTGAAGAGATTGTTTGAACATTGTGGTTGTATTGAACATTGTTCAATATAATTTAAGGGAATTGGAGGAAGTTGATTTTTTTGGCATGAGCATGTCATGAATGACAGAGAGCAGCCTTTTATGAAAGAAGAGCTGGTGTGGTTTGTGTCTGAGTTTTTCTTTTCTCTTATTCTGCAGAAGGAAACGTGGTGAGAAGGGAGAAGTTGTGGAAACTGTGGAAGATGTTATTGTGCGGAAACTGACTGCAGAGCGGGTTGAGGAGTTGAAGAAAATTATTAAAGAAACACAGGAAAAATACAGGTACATGACAGAAGTGTTAAAATGTTGCACATCTGAGAGTCCTGTCCTGAAAAAAGAGTCTAAGTGGGATGGTGATTGGGGTGAAAATGCTGCTTAAGGTGTCCAGTTCAGTGATCAGAAATTAAAAAGATTTTATGATTTCAGACAACTCAAGAAGGATGCAGAGCTGATCCAGGCCGGACACATGGATAACAGACTGGAGGAGCTGTGCAATGAGATCATGATGTGGGTTATTGAATTATTTCTTCTGAGATTGTAGTTTCCTAACACTCTGTCCAGCATCTCTTGCTCCACATAGTTCAGGTTAAGAGAAGTGGGGCAGCTGGGCTGATGCTTTGGCCTCTGAGGGGGGACTTAGCTCAGACTGGGGGATACCAGCTGGTGTGGAGCATCCTTTGGAGTTGCTCAGTAAAAAGCTTGGCCATGGCTTGCAGAACCATGTTTGCTGCCTTCATTTTGACAATCATCTGGAAGTGAAATTTCCAGCCCATTGTGTCATTCTCTGGCTCTGCTGCTCGCCTTGGGGGATTTGAGCCTGAGTCCACAGGAGTGGTTTGATGTTGTCTGGAAATAACAGGGTGGGTGTTATTTTGAAGGGGGAATTAAGAGGAACTGAGACACCCTGTAACAGAGGATTTTGCTTTTAATACAGAAAGAAAAAAATGGAAGAAGAGGAGGCAGAAGTCAAGAGGAAGGCTACAGATGCTGCTTATCAGGGTAAGATGGAAATGAGCTGCCTTCATTTTCCTCAGACCAATGCATATATTTATAAGAACATTTAGAAAATACTGAAGTCTTGTTAAGACCTGCAGGAGGAATTCCTTGACCCTAGAGTTGGAGAAAGAGGTTGTATTCTCTTTCCAGCACTATATTTGTAACAGAGTAAAAGGCAGAGGTTTCTGAAAAAGGAACAAAATTTTCAGGAAAGGTGTATCCAAGTGGAAAGCAGGATTAGTAAAGAGCTCTGTGTTAGAATGTCAGGCTTTTCACACCTTTAGTTTCCCCTGGTCACTGAAGGTAAAAGGAAGAGACTTCTATTCTGAATGTTCAGTTCTTCATAACTCTTTAATTTGGTGGTGGGAAGTGGTGAATACCCAACTGCTAGAGAAACCTGCAGCTGAAGTGCATTACCCAAAGTTAGTATTATCTGGGAACTGAGCCTAGTGGGGTGCAAGAAATTCCTTTGACATAAATTGTTCTCTTGAAGTTCTTCAGGATAAAGTCAAAGGTAACTCTTGGGGACTGTCCACGATGGAGTCATGGAATCTCACTTTCATTTCTGTTCTCTTCCAGCTCGCCAGGCCATTAAGAACCCACCTCGAAGGCTCACAGGGGTGATGGTTCGTTCTCCTGCTGGCTCCACCTCCCCGGGCGGGGATTATTCCCTCGGAGATCTGTCCCAGCCCGCTGGGGATGAGGCCAGTCCAGGGGTAAGGAGCCTTCTCCGGGTAGGAGGGAAGCCCAGCTTGGGACATGGGGCTCTGCATCCACCACAGAGAAGGGGCCTGGGGAGAAGCCCTTGCCTTGCTTTGCAGACTTCAGGTGCTGTAGTGTGGTTGGTGACAGTGCTGCTCGAGATCCATGTCGTTTTCCCTGTCTGTGGTGATCCGATGCCTGGATCAAAGGCCATGTAGGGGCATCAGTGGGTTGGCCAGGCAATCTGTGAGTGCCTGGGAAATGGCTCTGCAGGGCAGGGAAAGGGTGAAAGCACATGCCTGGAGTAGGGGCAGCGAGTGAATGGAGTAGGTGTCTGTGGTGTGCTGGATCAATGCTCTTGGGGGAAGCAGCAAGTGGGGCTGGTCCGTGTGGTGGAGTGTGGCTTTGAACAGTGTGGTTTTTCTCTTTCTCAGGTCACGCCAGGGACATTGCCCAGCACCCCAGTTGCCTCCTTCATTGGAATCCCTGACACCCCTCCAGGCTCTGCTCCCCTGGATGCCCCCATGACCCCAGTCACTGATGATTCACCCCAGAAAAAGATGCTAGGACAAAAAGCAACTCCGCCTCCTTCCCCTCTGCTCTCAGAGCTGCTGAAGAAGGGCAGTCTCCTGCCCACAAGCCCCAGGCTGGTATGGAGCTCTCTGCTCATATATGCAAGCACACAAACAATTTGCTCCAGACTCTCCCACTGAAAAAGGGGGATCTGCAAAGAATTTTTAAAAATGTGCAGTTTTGTGAGAGTCTCAGCAGAAGTGATAATCTGAGAGGTATAAATACCCCTGTGAGCTGCAGAGGTGAGCCCCTTTCCCAGCAGGACTGCAGGGCTTGTGCAGCACGTAGGACTGGCTGTCCCCTCAGTCATAAGGAGTTGGAGTTGCAGGGTTTGCTAGAGGAAATTGTTCTCCTCAGGGGAGGGAACTTGTTAGTCAGCATCATCCCCATCAGCCTTCATGGAGCTGTTCCTGGTGATTCCTACACTGGACTCACAATTCTTTACACCTTGTCAGAAGTTGTGTTTCAATATTCTTAATGTGTCTTAGCACAAGAGTAGGGAATCCTTGAATGGCATTTATGATCTGTATAGAAATGCTTCAGTTTTCTCCTAATTGTAGACAGTTACTAAAATCACTGTAATGAGAGCCCACCTGTGGTGTTAATGACTCAGGAAGTCTTAGGAGATGCTGACACTGTTCAGAGCCCAGTCTGAGAACAGCAGCCATCAGCCTGCTTGTGACACAGGTTCCCTAGGTTAGTGCTTTTGTGGTGGAGTAGGTGTGTTGCTATTGACTTTTTTCTTCATAGTAGTCAGATTTAGGGTTTTTTCTATTTGTTACCTTGGGTAAATGTTCCGTGGATTTTGTGTTTGCAGGATGAAACATAAAGTGGAGCAGGGAAAGATAATGGCTGTGTAAGGCTGAGTTTTCTTTGTAGGAACAGGATTGGTTTGCATCTGTTTCAGGGTCTATCACAGGTTCACTGTGTGACCTTGATCAAGTTACTTTCCATCTTGGTACTTCTGCTTCTCTCAGTTAAAAACAAGGGATGTTTCTGTGCCATCTCAGGGTGTAGAAAGACTCATATGTGTAGAGGATTGTGAGGTCCTTGAACAGAAGAACTGGGATGGAGCAAATGATGCACTTGGCCTCACCTCAAAGAAAGGTGGCACTGCTGCTGTGTCACAGCTGAAGAACAGCAACAGTTTCAGACTGTCATGTTCTGCACTTGTATGAGGGGCCTCAGGCAGGGACTAACCTGAACAAAAAGTGCAGAAGAAATGCTGGGACAGCAGATGCTGGTCCTGTTCATGGAGGTTCACATCTGGCAGAGAATCACTGGTGTGGTGGTATCTCCAGGAACTTCAGTCTCATCCTCCTTTGACAGGTTGGTGAAAATGAAATGGCAGTGGCTTCTGGTCATATGAACAGCTCTGGAGTGCTGCTGGAGGTAGGAAGTGTCCTTCCAGTGCTGCACAGTGGGGAAATGCAGTCGGCACCTGGTGCTGTCCCTGCATCTCCGGCTGCTTCAGGTAACTCAGGCCTCTCCCTGTACAGTTCTCCCTTAAGGTGTGCCTTCAGACTGTTCTGTGAACTTTCTTGGGAGAAAGATGATGTCTGCCTGGCTGGTTTGGGAGATTCTCTGAGTTGTATTCCTATTTCTGTGGGTGGACCCTATTTCTGTGGAGATGGACCCCTGTCCATCTCACCCCTACTTTTTAAGAAGACCCTAACCCTTAAAAGAGTGACTGAAACAATTTGGCTCGATTCAGTCCTGATTATGCGGTCTGGTTTTCTGTGTTTGATACTGGCTGATACCAGGATTTGAGTGTAGAAAGAAAGGGTTTGTTCACAGAGAGTTGAGGAAAAAATGGTCTAGATCTGATCCCCAGTGTGTCAAAACACAGCTCCCTGTGGATCTGGAGAACTCGTGTGCCTTCCCTCTGCTGTATCTTAAAGGTCTGTTGAGAGTTAGACCACTGAGTTCAAGAGGAAGTTCCACAGAGTGAGGGTAAGGGGGACAGTGCAGGGCTCTGCATTGGGCTTTTTCAGAACAACCTGCCTAAAGTTTTTTTTTCCTCAGCTCTTGCTGACCAGTGATTTAATCACGTTGTCTGCAACTGAGAATTTATGTCATTTATTCATATAGAATTCCATACAAGTAATCTTTCTTTCCTTATCCACATCTGGTTTTTTAAGACCTGTTAATTTGGTCCAGACCTAATTAACTAAATTCACTAAATTTCTGAACACAGTTCACTAAATTCAGACTGGAAGTTACAGCTAAAATGAATGGCAACCTTTGATATAAGAGGAATTCTCCAGGAAAAACCTGCAGAGAGATCCCCTCCGTTCCCTCCCAGCTCCTGTGACAACTGTGCGTCTTGGCTTACGTTGTGTGCTCTCTCAGCACTGTTTTTCAGATTTCCCATAATTGTTTTGGGATGAGCCTTTGGAAGGGCATCTCTGTGCATGTGTTGCTTAGTCTGTCCAGCCCTTACAGCGAGTGCAGTGTTCCGTGTCTGCATGATTCCGCCTCAGACTGCACACACAACAGGAGTCATGCATTTTTTGGTGCAGGTTCTCTGTACAGCTTTTGGGACTCTTTTCTAGTTATCTCTCCATGTCTTTTCCCAGAAGAAGCCACCAGACAGTGAAGAGCCCAGTGGTGGCTTTGTGGACTTGAGTGGTGGCTGCTTCTTGCTCATGTGCTTTTCCCTTCTACTCTCTGTTAGGTGCTCCTACGCTTTCCCGGCTTTTAGAAGCTGGTCCTGCACAGTTCACCTCACCTCTTGCTTCCTTCTCCGCTGTTGCCAGCGAGCCTCCAGCTAAGCTCCTGCCACCCCCCGTAGAGCCTGTGTCCCAGGCCACTATTGTCATGATGCCCACGCTGTCAGCACCAGCCGTTGTGCCACCAGCTGCAGCTCCAGAAAGCATAGCCACAGGTGCGTTCCTGAGCTACGCACTCAGAGGTCACGTCCTGCTGGAAAGCAGAACTTCCCGTGGGATCAGCGCCCTGCGAGCTCTCAGCTGGGTTTTATCACCTCAGACTCGCCATCCTGGCCAAAAAGGATGGTTATGGCTGGGTTCTGGAGTAAACAGTTGGTTTTAACAGGGTAACAGGGTTTGCTGGGTGGGGGTGGGAGTGCTGGTGATTTGCTGGACTGTGGTTCAAGGGTTGGAATCTCTCCTGTGGGAAAGCAAACCCATATTTGCCTTTTGTTAATCTAAGCTGTGGTGGGGTGGGTGGGCCTGGGATACTTGTGGTTGGTGCTTGGTCTTACCCACTGCAGTGTTTGTTTATGTGGGGACTTCTCCAGCTTGGTCTCTGACTGTCCCTCTCATCCTTGTGCAGTGAGCCAGCCAGAAGCCTGTGTTTCCATGGAGGCAGTGTCTGATTCCCATACTGTGACAGTGTCCATGGACAGCAGTGAAATATCAATGATCATTGATTCCATTAAGAAAGACTGCCTGGGTTCTGGGGCTGGCAACACTGCAGGATCTTCCAAAGATCACTGCATGGATGGGAAAGAAGATCTGGATCTGGCTGAAAAAATGGATATTGCAGTGTCCTATACGGGGGAAGAGCTGGACTTCGATACGGTTGGAAATATTATAGCCATCATTGAGGACAAGGTAAATGGGGAAAGCAGAATGCCAGTGCCTTTTGCTCCACATTCAGTTGGGTTAATCTCAAATGATTGCTGTTGACCAATTTAATTTAAACAACCGAGAAATAACAATTCCAGAATACCCATTCTCACCATCATTTTCCAGATCAATAGGAAAGGACACCACTGCTGCATGTCTGACACTGGTGCTCCTTTTCAGAGTACAAAAAAGAAATGTCTTTCTTCCTTGGAGGGTAGAGTTTGGGTCATGTCTCTGGCAGACAGATGAGCACTGCTCTCAGAATCCTTTCTAGGAGTGCCATATTTAGGAAACTGAAGCTTCAGGAGAAGCTCCCCTAGGGAGTGATACAAATCTTGCTGCAAATGGCAACTCTGTAAACAGAGTAGACTGGGATTTCCACAGTTGTCTCAGTACCAAATGACATGAGCTTCTTTTCAATCCCTCTTTCTGACCTCGGCCTGCACTGCCATGTGTTTGTTTTGACAATAAAGGTAGATGACCACCCTGAAGTCCTGGATGCAGCAGTTGTTGAAGCTGCTCTGTCTTCTTTCTGCGAAGATACCGATGACCCTCAGACCCTTCCTGGCCCATGGGAACATTCAATTCGTCAGGAGCATGAGAAACAAGCCCAGATGCCACAAGTGTCTGTGACTGTGAAGCAGGAGAGATTGGAGTGTGAGGAACCAGAGGCAAAGGGAATTCGAGACCTAATGGGTATCAATGAGCTGGGGCCAGAAATAAAGACTGAACTTGCAGAGCAGGACCAGAGTCAGCTGGGCCCTGAGGAAACCATACCAGCAACTGCAAGAGTGACAGAAACACCAGAGCTTAGAAACCAAGAGATAGAGGAAGATCAAAGAGCAGCTGTAACATCAGGAGAGACTTCTGAAATCAAGATAGAGTCATCCCAGGGAGAAGATGCAGTGCTCAATCCAGTGAAGACAGAGGTATGTGGTCACAGAGGCTGTCTGGAACTGGTGTGGGGAAAGAGAGGAGCAGTTGTGGCAGGTAGGAGCAAAGTTTAGAGGAAGGATGAGTGCTGGGTTGAAGTGACCCTTCAGTGAATGTGACTGACTGTTTTCCTGGGAGTCAGGCTGCTGATGTGCAGAGCAGCTCTGCTGTAGGCAGTACCTTTGTGTATCTCCCCCATCCATGTGCAGAATTGCTGCTGGGAAGGTGCTCAGAGAACCTCACTGCCTGGAGTTAGGTTAGAGTGAGTGAGATGTGCCCACACCTTCACTAAAGTAAGCTGACACAAACATCTAGATTTGTGCATTTCTCTTCCCTCCAGACCCCACCTGATGATGATTCATCCCCTCCACAAGTCCCAAATGTGAGTGAAGACTCCTCACAGGCTGATGTTCAGCACAAATTTGAGCTGTCAGGTAACTTAATTCAGCTAGGAAATCTTTTACATGCAACATTATTAGCTGGATAGTTGTTAGTTATCTGGTTCAGGTTTTTTGGGGAGGAGGGAGAAGAGATACCTGTAGGAAGTGTTAATTACTGCAGGACAGTAGGCATTGGTGCAGGAGCTTTTGTAGGAAAGGCTGCTTAGGAGAATCAATCTCTCTGCATTTCTTTCTTTCACAGAGTCAATGAAGGAGGAGGCCCAAGCCCTGTTTAGGAGTCAGATGAAGGTAATTCCCAGTTGGTTTTAGTCATCTTGAGTTTATTAGCAACATCTTGCTACTGCTGCCTGCTGAAAGGCAAAGCTTGTGTTCAGCTTTCTGCACTGGGAAGTGAGCAGTCTGCAGCTGAAGGGGAAGTTGCTTCAGAATGTAAAGGTGTCTGTTTATGTGCTTCTGGGTCTGTGGGGAGAAGCAGGGCAGGCTGGAGAGACGGGGATTTTGTGGAAATGCCTGTACAGTTGTCAGCAATCTCACAAGAAAATCACTTTGCTCACAGAACCATAGTTGCTTTGGAGGCGCTGAGTGGCTGCTGTAGCTGGCTGTGCCAGCTGATGGACTCTGTGTTTCAGGATGGGCAGGGGGAGGAGGATGATGAGGATGGTGCCAGTGAGGCTGCCAGTTTGGAGGAACCCAAAGAAGAAGACCAGGGTGAGGGGTATCTCTCAGAGATGGATAACGAACCTCCTGTGAGCGAGAGCGATGACGGCTTCAGCGTCCACAACGCGCCCTTGCAGTCCCACGCGCTCGCCGACTCCATCCCCAGCAGCCCGGCCTCCTCGCAGTTGTGAGTGTCAGGGCACACAGGGAATGGAGGATTCCCATTTCTGGTTTGCTGAGTGGATCCCAAGGGAGAATTTGTTGATTTTTGTTTGGTTCTTGCTTGCAATGGCAAGTGTGCAGACAGCACTCCAGTACCAGCTCCCACTTTTTCCTTCTGTCTTTGGTGTGGATTAGCGTGGGCATGTCAAGGACAAAACAAACCATGAGTTTTCTGCTCTGAAGCAGTGATCAGACTCCTGAAGGAATTACATTCTTCTCTTCACAGCTCAGTGTGCAGTGAGGACCAGGAAGCAATACAGGCTCAGAAGATCTGGAAGAAAGCCATCATGCTGGTTTGGAGAGCAGCAGCTAATCACAGGTGAGTTTGATATTTGGCAGAAAGAAGTGACTAATCCTAGACAAGTCTCCACTCTCCCATCTCAGAGGCTTATCTCTCTTAGGAGATGATGAATCATTGTTACAGACAAATAAACAGGACAGCATGAAACAAATATTTACCAGCAAGAACAGGCACTGAGTGGACTCCTTCTCTCTGTAGGTATGCCAATGTCTTCTTACAGCCTGTAACTGATGACATAGCACCAGGCTACCACAGCATCGTGCAGAGGTAAGTCTCAGGAGTCATCTGTCACTACAACTCTGCATGTTTGCATATCTGTAGGGATTTCTGGCAGGAACAATGTAGTTTTTGCCTGCTGTTCAGACTTGGAAAAGTATTATTTTTCTGACATGATTCAGTCAGAAGCAGGTTTCCCCAAGACAAGAGTCATCATCAGTAACAGGCACATGTCTGTACACAGTCCTGACTTTGTGTGAAGTACGCTGAGTTACACAGAACATTTTATCAGTAAGGTGAAACTGATCTGTTTCTCCCAGTTTCTATCTAAGATTAGGATTTAACCTTTTTAGAATTCCTAAAAGCTCTTCTTTAGTCAACATTTTTTGCTGTCCTAGATGGTGGTGTTTTCTGGAAGAGTTACCAGAATCCCCTGCTAGCTGCTGAAATCTCTTGTAAACAATTCAAGTTTAGTGGCTGCAGCTCTAGCTCCTTGGTTTCTCTGTCAGTGGTACCTGGAGAAGGCAAATGCTTCTCCTGAGAGATCTCTGAGGCTGTTGTTACTATTCCAGGTAACTGCTGGACACCTTTTGTCTTCTGACCCAGGCCTTGGAGCTGGGGAGCACAGCCCATGGGGGGAGAACCTGTTCAGCTAAATGAAATAGGCTGTAACTAAACAAGTTACAGACCCAGGGCTGTTTCCAAAGGAGATGGGGAAGAATTAAGCATTTCTGTTGCAATTTTGCCTGCATTTCTTTCACAGGCCAATGGATTTATCTACCATCAAAAAGAACATTGAGAACGGGCTGATCCGAACCACAGCTGAGTTCCAGCGGGATATTATGCTGATGTTTCAGAATGCAGTGATGTACAACAGCTCTGACCATGATGTGTACCACATGGCTGTGGAGATGCAGAGAGATGTCCTGGAGCAGATCCAGGTAAAGTACTGAGCTGAGGCCAGCACAGGACAGAGCATCTTCCTCTCTCCACAGATCTGGCTGTAAGACCACGGTTTCACTCTCAGTGAGTTTGAATGTAGTGGGTCCTGTCCTTCCCTGCTTCTCTCTCTCATGGCAGCTCAGGTGTTTTATGTTGAACTAGATTGTGGGCGAGTTAAAAGTAACACAGCAAAATTTTTTATATGTTCATCCCAGACCAATTTCAAATGTAATTTCCTTCAGGGAAATGCTTAGGCCAGCAAGAACCAGGGTGTGGTTCAGGAACAGAAGCAAGCAACAAGAACGGTGAATGACAGGGGACGCAACGGCTTCTTTGGGTGGCTGTGCTGGTTTATGTTGATATAGAGTGCACATGAAACTGCCCTGTGAATTTATGCTATTTAAAATATCCTTTGAAGCAGAATGTCCCAGCTGGCAGGACTAACAGAGTTTGAATTGGGGTTTTGTAGTTCCTCAGGACTTGTGGCTTCTGAGGTAAATTGAGGAACTTTTCTGAGCAGCACACAAGGAACTGAAACTGCCTCTGACCCAATCATTCCCAGCCTGTGGTCTGTGATAGTTAACTGACATGCACTTACTGAGCTTGTTTTGCCTGACAATCTTAACAGAGTGTGGTTTCCTTGCAGCAATTTCTGGCCACACAACTGATGATGCAAACATCAGAGTCAGGGATCAGTGCAAAGAGCCTGCGGGGGCGAGACTCCACTCGCAAGCAGGATGCTTCGGAGAAGGTGAGAATGCTGCACCCTGTGCAAGGGCACTTGGGATCTTCTGAAGAATCCCAGGATACTGCATGAAGTTCCCACACCAAGTACCCACACCAGCATCTTCATGTGAACAAATTTTCTTTAAATATGCCTATTGATTAGATTTCAATTCTGGAACTGTACAGCATTCCAGAGACAGGTCTCTTGAATTTCTTCCTGTAATCCAAATACTTCTATTACCTGTTTTTAAAAACAAGTGATAAAAACTGCAGGGAAATGAACAGAGTACTGAGGTGTGAATACTCTCAGGCACATGGTGTGACTCTTGGGGATGGGCCTGCAGGGCAGGGAGTTGGACTGATCTGTGTGGTTCTCCTCCAACTCCACAGATTCTGTGATTCTCTGGTGTGGCAGAAAGGTGAAGGGAATTGCCATATCCTTCACTTTCTAGTCAGGTTTTTAGAGCTAGAGAATCAGTCACCTCTGGTTTGCTGTGTAAAATACACCAGAGAACCTTTGAATTCCACACTGATCTAAGCAATGAAGGTTTGTGTTTTTTTTCTTCTGTAAAGACACGTGATGAAGTGATCTCAGGTACTCTCTGGTGCACACAACACTGTGACAGCAGGGGCTGCCTGCTTAGTTCTAGACAGCTGCATCAAGCAGGAATTGTTTGGTAGACCAGAAAAACTTGCTGTGGCTGTGGAGGGAATATCCCTTTCCTGGCATTCTGGCTCTCGCAGTATCCCTCTTTTTGTCTCTTTTTATGTTCCTGCTGCATAAGACTGACACCCTGCAGGAAGGGGAGTGGGGCACATATTCCTCTATGCTCGTGTGTGGGCTCAGTGCTTCTGTGTGGTGTGTGCATTTCCGTAGCTGATGCCTGATAAGTCCTTCTGTTTGGCCTTTTAACAGGACAGTGTCCCAATGGGCTCTCCTGCCTTCCTTCTCTCTCTCTTTGTAAGTATTGAAAGGCTCCAGCAGGTTCTGCATTACTGCTGCCAGGTGCTCTGCTCCTTGTCTGGGTGGTCACTGCACTGTCACAGCATCCTTAGCACTGCAGCAGGGTGTGTTTGACTTGGGGGCTGCACCACTGTGATCTGAGAAGAGACATCTCAGTCCCTTATTCTCAAAATGGGTGAGCGGGTGGGGCTTCAGTCTTTTCTTCTGGTTCCAAGTGTTTTTGTTTTGTCATCTGCTTTTGCTTTTTTTCATGACTTCTCTCCTGCTTTCTTTCCATGTAAGTGGGAAGACAAACCAATTGGTGCAGTCCTGTAGTTCCTACATCTCTCATGTTTATACAGCTGCCCCTTCCACACGTCCAAGGCAGTACAAAAGGTCTTGGGAGAATGAGGAGTCAGCTGTGTGTCCTTTATCCATTCCTGGTTCAGAAAGCAAATAAGACTCTGCAGAAATATCTTGCTCTGTGCCTGTGGTCATCTGGAAGTGTTTGGAAAAATACTCCCTCTGGGAAACCCGTAGTCTCTGAGTCACTGTGAGGAGAGAGAGGAGGAAGATGTATCTCACATGTATCTAAAGACAGAGGAGTACTCCAGGAGAGGCAGCAGATCAGCCAGAGAGAGAGGGCAGCGGATCAGAGGAAGCTCTCAGCTCACCTGCTCATGGAAAAGAGCTGTGTGGAGGAACTAGGGAGCCTAGTGCCAGGGTCACTCAGCTGGATGAGCACTTCCCATAGGGATCAGCAGCTAATCAGGTAGGTTAGTCAGCAGTTTTCCTTTTTCCACCTTAAGTTAGAATCTGCTGCTTAGGAGAAAGCCTGCACTATATGCATTCTCTGGGCCAGAGGTGTTGCTTCTCTACCCTGGCTTCAGCAGTGCAGAGATGCTGCCAAGCCCAGCACCCTGCTGTGTCCAGATCCAACTTTAGGTAGGTCTGCAGGCAGGCCTTGGCAGGGACAGCTTCCCTTTGTCCTGATGGGAAGGCATGAAAAGTTGTTGCCAGATGCAGAATTCCCTCCCTTCCTCCCTCCCTGCCCTGTGCCGGAGGGACGTTCCTGTGGGGTTGTGTAACTGTGTGTGTTTGCCTTGTGAGCAGGACGGAGGCACCAGAGGGCGGCGCTGTGCCATCGAGGCGGACATGAAGATGAAGAAATGATGCTGAAGACACAAAATCCCGGCAGAATCCCAGGCATTCGGAGCTGGAGTACAAGCAGACAGCTCTTAACAGCTGTTGGAGGAGGAGGAAAAGCTGCAGGTCCATTTCTGGGACCTGGTTCACCACCTTTGCTTGCCCTTCTGGACAGCAGTGTCTTGTCAGAATGTGTAACCCAAAGAAACTTCCCCAGAGGGGAAGACCGGCCCCCCTGCCTGTTTTAGGGCAGTTGTCTTGGGCTTCATCAGTGTTCTGGTGTTAGCTAGCAACTGGCGGCTCGTATGTACTGTAATGTGAAGTGTACAGATTTTTACTAGTGATGTGTAAATGTGATGTATATTAAAATCTGGGAACAAATCTGTGTGCAGTGTACTGAGCATCGCAGCTCTGCAGGGAGGAACCCTGTTGTACAAGCCTGGATCCCCACCTGGAATATCTGCAAATACAATTCTCTTCCAGTTATCCCTATAGCACACATGAATGGCAGAGCTCTGATGTTAGAGACAATCCATAAATCACTGGAATGCTGCACAGTGCTTGGAAGGAGAGGAAGATTCCCTGCTTGAGTGTGTGAGGATACAGCACTGCTGTGGTGACACTGGAGATCAAACCTTGAGAAGTTAAATACCACAGTCTTGTTGGACCTTTAGGAGAAAATGCATTGAAAAGGACTTGACATTGTTTCCCCAGAGCTCTGCGGAGGCTGCACTAGTCAGAGTGAAAATCTGTGATCCCAGCACCCGTAGGCAGGATTGCCAGTACTTGGTTTCACGTCTGAGCTTGTGTGCTGTTTCTACTGGGAATTACTGTCCTTTTCCTCAGCAACATGATGGTTTAAGTTCCCTGCGAGAATTTCCAAGTCACTTTTTCTGCTCATATGACCTGAGATGAAACTTGCATGTTTTCTGCCCACACAACCTTTCATGGGTGAAAGAAAAACAACAAAATGACACCATCCTTGATTGTTGCAGCAGCTGGGAGTGCTCTGCACTCTGTACAACATGTCCAGGGTGCAGCTTTCTGGTAGACAGGTTTCAGGAAACTGAGTCACTGGGATTAAGACCAGAGGCATTGTTGCCTTATCCAGTAAGAGCTCTCAGTTTTCACAAGTTGAGTGTTGAAGTTGGCCATGCCTGCTGTGTCAAGTCCCGTGTATTGCTGAGGTGAATTTTCACCACGAGTCACCTTACTGATGTGGAAATGCTGAAACTCCTTTGGATTGGTGATTGGTTGTCCTTCGCTGCTAAACCTGGGGGCAAATTTCTGGTTTGAATTTTTATTGTTCTCAGTTCATAACCCAAAAAGTTACAGGGGTCTTTTTCATGCATTTTATGGAGTTATTTCAGTTAGGGACAAACATTTTAGCATTGCCTGTTGTGACAAGACAAGGTAATGGTTCTAAACTAAAAGCCCTACTTAGACTGGATAAAGATTTTTTTACAGTGAGGGTGTTGAGGCCCTGGCACAGGTTATCCAGAGAAGCTGTGGATACCTCATCCCTGCAAGTGTTGAAGGCCAAGTTGGATGAGACTGAGCCACTTGGGATAGTGGAAGGTGTCCCTGCCTATGGCAGGGGGGCTGGACCCAGACAGCCTCTAAAGGTCCCTCCCAACCCAACCTCTTTCCATGATTCTAAGTTGGAAAGAACCTCTGTGCATTCCTTTCCTTCATTCAGCTGCTCAGAGCAGGGCCAGCTTCAAATATTTACCTTATACCCAGTCAGAATTTCCTGTGGTACAACTTGTCTCTGTCTCCTTTCACTGCTGGGCACTGAGAAGAGTCTGGCTCCATTTCTCTATAATACCTCTGTCCTGCCATTGTCTCTGCTGGAAAACTGAAGGTGCAGCACAGGAGAAGACCTTTATCAGACCCTCTGGTAACTTGCTTTCATCATGGCAAGCATTGCTCTTCCTTCCTACCCTTGGTTTCTTCTCTAAACCAGGTATTTTTCTCTCAGCCTTCTCTCTTGTCCCATGACATTTTAATAGTCTTTAATGATGTTTAAGAGCTTTAAATATGATTTTCTCTATGGAGCCTCATTCCCTCTTTCCCAATTCATCATCTCATGCTCTGACTACTTATTAATTCTCTTCTTCCTAATACTTTGTTCTAATCTGTCTAGTACAGGGCTGATGTTTTACTGTGCTGCATCTCCCAGCACCCACCCTTTTACAGACAGATAAAACTGTCACCCCTTTCTGGTTTTCTTCTTAAATGACAACTTCCACAGCATAGGCTCAGTCACGTTATATTTAAGCTGCTTTAGGGCTCACAAATGAATCCCAATGGGTTCTAAGGTTTATTCACTCCCTCAAATTGTTCTAAAATCTCCCCTGTTGACATTTTAATTAGAAATTGTCTCTCAGACCCATCCCAAGAGAAGGTCTCGTGTGAGCTCCTCTGTGGCAACTGCTGATAATGATGATTAATTTGGTTTTTCCAACTGGCCCTATTTTCCACTGAGATGTTTGGCACTGATCGTGTGTCATCCCCACTGATCATCTGGCAGCTCTCTGCTTCTGATGTTTTTGATGAGGTTTTTTGTTTTTATTTGCTTTTATGTCTTTAGCAAATTGTTCTCTTTTTCTTTTCTTTTTTGCCTACTTTATGTGGATTCTACATTCGTTTATTAGAATTCAGGCTTTTATCATTTTTCTTGTTTTGACGTGTAAGTTCTTTTTAAAGGCTGTCTTTTTGATTTCTAACAGCTTTTTCCCAGAACAGCAAGGGTTGTGCAGTGTCTGATCTCTGCAAAGTGAACTAAAACTTTCCAGTCTGAGAGAGGTTCCTTGCTAGTGACTTCTGTAGCCAACATAATTAAGAACTGTCAGGCAATTCTTAATTAAAAGTTCAAGTCTGTGTCATTTTGTCCGGAAATGGGTAGAGCTGAGCTGTCTGTGATTATTTCACTCATCATGTCTTGCACTAACTGTTCTGCTCTCTGGCATCTTGAGTCTTCCAAGATTTGGTAAAACTGAACATAAGGCTGAAGATCTCTTTAATCTTATGCCCAAGTTCCCAGGACTTCCTGATTTTCAACGTTTATCCCTCAGGGAGCACAGAAAGATGATCACAAGTGATCAGATTACCCAGGGCTGAGGCTTTTCCGTGCCTCTGCGTGTGGCAGCTCTGGTGAGGCTGCAGGAGAGAGCTCCAGGCACAGGGTTTCTCTTCAGATGGAATCTCAGTTTGCCCAACTCCCTCACCTGGAAGCTGAGAGCAGGTAATATTATCTCCTACCTCATCAAATTTCATCTGCTGCCACTGAAGAGAACTTTGAAAGAGGTTTTGGAAGGACAGGCTTTCAGATCCCAACTCTGCTTGCGAGTTGACAAAATAAGCAAAGCTGTTTTCTCATCCCAGACCCAGTGGATTCTGTATTTCTTCCTGTTATGCACCATAAGCTGAATTTGGAATTGTGCTAGCAGTCCTGAGAATGGAAAAGACAATCAGTGAGAAATACGCTTGTTCAAAACTCTGAAAAAATTGGGTTGTACATAATTAACTGAAGGCTCTAAAGACAGTGTTAATTAATCCATAGGTGCAGCATCCAGGCAGCTCCATTCAGTGGCAAGACACAGATTTTGTGACATCTTTTACTTTTGTACTGTGACTGCAATCAATTCCCCAGGCTTAGAGGACTCAGAGTGCTTTCATGGAGTAGAAGACATGTAGGCATGGACTAATCAACAGAGATTAAATGAGTGGTTTCTTCCTTAATGCTTTAACTTTTCTTTTCTGCAATGTATAGAACTGTCAGTGTGTGACTGTGTGGTTATAATTCTTCTGGCTGAGGTACATGAGATATCACCATCCAGATAAATCACACCTGTCACTTTCAAAACTGTGTCTGTAAGGTTTGTACTAAGTTATCTCCAGTATAAGAAGTTCTCGGGGCAACAAGTGGAATTTCAGTGAGTTGTCCTTGGAGTCACCAGTTGTTCCCATCACTCAGCAACTGAGGAGCCCCAGCAGGACTCGGTCTGAGCTTGCTGGATGCCTTCAGCACCTTAAATATGGAGCATCAGCAAAGCCAGATGCTCCCAGACAGCTCAGCATGCCCTCAGCAGAGTGACCCACTGACTGGAGCAGAGAGAGAGCACAACAAAAGCACCAGAAAACCTGAAATTCAGTTGCTCTGAAGCAGCAGTTTGTGTTGCAGAGCTGCAGCCCTGCCATGTGCTGTGTGGTGAGCTCAGGTGTAGGTTGCTCACTTCACAGTCCTTCCCATGCTGTGGCCCTCCAAGTATGTCAAGAAATGAGCTGGGCTTGGCAGTTCTGGATCAGGGTACATTTCTTCATTGTTTCATTGTCTTTTCATTGTTTGCAGATGGGCCATGCCTGGCAGTCTGAGTTAGAATCTCCCATCAAATCAGAGAACAGTGGTTTCCAGTCTCTTCCTGACTGGGATTCAAGCTTGGATCTGGATGTGAGGAGCTGGAGAAACACTGAAGAGCTGGCCATGGGGAAGCGAGAGGGGAGCAGCCAAGAGACAGACCATGAGATGGAGCTGAGTGAGCCTCTCTGGAAGGATGATAGTGAAGATTACCACAAGGCAGAGAAGCCATGTGGAAGCAACAGTCTTTTCCAGTTCCTCTTGGAGGTAGGGCTGTTTGGATTACAGGAGGGTGGGCAGCAGTAGTTCAGACCCTCCTGAAACATTGGGCTTTTCAGGGCTGGGACTATCCATACAAACAGAAACAGACTGGAGGCACAGCAGAAGCTCTGGGTTCACTTTCTCCCCAGCCCAGCTTTTCCTCCCATTCAGAGCTCACATTGCACCCAGGCAGCTGCTTTGCCAAAACACAGCTCGCCCTTAAGCACAGAAATGTCAGAGAACTGACACTGTAATAATAACACAGGGCTTCATCAGATTTTGCAAGGATTCCTAAAAATGGAAAGGCGTTCGTGAGTGATTGCAAAAATAGCATCTCTGCTGTTTATTTCTTCTTCCTTTTGCCTTCACAACTTGAAGTAATAAATCACTGTCTTGCAGGTAACCCAGATGTTGGAATCTTTCTGCATTAGCAGCAAAGAGTCATTGCAGACTCCGTGGGATTATTGTGGCTCGGGGAAGCAGAGTGACGGAGGAGAAGTGAGGTGCCAGGAAAAGACCACAGGAACAGCAGTCTCAGGAGCAGAGGAAAGTCAACTACACATCCTGGCAAAAGATGAGAAAGAGCACTCCCTGGGAAGAGAGGTAGAAGAGTGGTGGTCCTAAAAGAGCCTCTAGACCTGGATGAGAGATGAAACAGTGAAGGAAACCAGCTCTAGAAGAAATGGGGGAGCCTGAGGTTCTGAGAGGGGAGACAAAACACTCAGGAAGGGAACACAGAAGAAATGTATGAGGGAAGGGTGTTTTTTATGTATGGCTGTGTATTTTTATAAACAGGAAGCTTGTTACAGATGAAACCCTCAGATGTGAGTTGGAGGAATTGCTCCTTGGCAGTGTAAAGGTGACTCATGAGAGCTGGCAGGCTGCTCTCAGGTTTTAGGCAAGGTTGGAATACTTGCCTGGTTCTAATTGCTGTGTTTTGCAGCACAGCTTGGCTGGTTTCAGGCCCACGTGGCTGTGCCAGCAATAACCATCTGCCCCTGGGGACTGTCATGTCTTGGAAGCAGGCACTGTCTAGCTTGGGTTTGCATCAGTCCCGTGTTTGGGGGCTGTGGGCTCGCACCAGCCTGCTGCGTATTCCTGGGAAATTAACACAGTGGTGGAGGAACAGGGCCGTTTTTCCACACCTGTTCTCTTGCAAACTCGGAACACTGGAGACACGTAACCTCCAGGATTTCACCTGTTCAGCCAGGACAGTGTATTCCCAGCAGCTACTTTGCTCTCAACTGCTGTTATTCCCAGCAACTCCCTCACAGTTCTCCCAGTGGTCACAGCCAAACTCAGCACAGTGTCCAGTTTCTTTCTCAGAAGTCTCCTCATGCTTCACATCTGTTGAGGATTCTGAGGTGCTCCTGCATGAAATCCCACTGAGCATTTTACTGGAAAACCACTACAACCACAGCACCACTCTCCTTCCTGGCTGAGTCTATTCCCTGTCATTTTAACGTGGGAGTTTGTGAGGAAACAACCTTGTTGAACTCTAGAGGTTCCTGTTATCTGCATCTGGAGCTTTAACAAGCCTGAGGCAGTCTTACCTCAGCTCCTGATTGCCCTCTCTACATCCATGACTCTTCCCAGAGAGCAGACAGACACAACACTGGGCACCACTCAGCTCCACAGGGTTTGTGTCAGCCAGGGGTGGATGCCATCCAAGAGATCAGACACAGCTCTTGCTGGGAAGGTCTGAGTGAGGTCAAACAGCATCCTCTGAGTAACAGAGCAACCAAGCTCCCAGCTGAGCCAGGATTCAGGGAAGGGATATGCAGCAGGCTGGCTTCTAGATAAAGGTTTCAGATAATGTGCTGCCTTTTTAGATGCATCCTCTGTGCTCTTCAGGGCAAGATTCAAGAGATACCTGGAGAACCACCTTTAGATGAGCTGCATCCACCAGAGATGAGTGCCCAGGCCCTGGATGAAGAGAACAGTGACAACAGCTCTGCAGCCCCAGTGCTGGACTCCACAGGCTCTCCCAACACACACCTGTAAGTAGCTGGTTCTGCAGAACAGAGCCACTTCCCTTGTCACACGTGAGAACAAGTGCATGGCACAGGACATCTCCAGGAAGGAGAGGCAGCCAAGCAGAGCAGGAGGGAAGGAGGGAACTTGTGCTATCTCTGGATTTTCTGGTATTATGGGGCATTCATTGTAAGATGAAGTGAGAAGAGTAGAGATTAAATACAAGATTAAATGGAAAATACATGTTTTCTCAAGTCAAGTAGGCCTGGTGTGAGCTGGACATCGGGTTCTGTCAGGCAATTCACAGCCCAGCATTACCAACCCCCTTTGAGCAGCTGCAGGTGTGTCAGTCAGATGCAGGCTCTGCCACGTGTGTGATCATTTGGACTGCTTTTCAAATAAAAAAACATGGGGTTTTAGGAAGAGAAACTTCATAAAAAACACCTCAGTGAATTCTGAACTGCAGAGCAGCTTGAGGTTTTCTATCCAGTTTGGTGCTGCTCTTTATCTCAGCTTTGCTTATACCTCTTGTCCTGCATCTTCCTGCATTCTGGATGTTCAGTTGTGCTTTCTGATGCAGAACACTCCCACCATCACACTCAGGCTTTTTGTAGCTTCATCCACCTGGATGTGGTGGGAGCCAGCAGAAGTGTCACCTCCTACTTTGTCTCAAGTATGATGATCTGGCAGTATCTTCACTCCACAGGCTGCAGCCAAGCTGGAATAACCCCCTCCAACACCTGATCCTCAAAAAAAGGCTCCTGTCCATCTGGAGGATGATAGCCAGCCACAGGTACGTGGGAACAGAGGGCTGCATCAACATGTCCTGAACACACTGCCCTGAGTCCCAGCTCCTGTGTCACCAGCCCTAGTCCTCCCCTCCCAGGGGCTGGCCCGTCTCCCCAGGACTTTGGGAACAGCTGCCTGCTGCAGAGCTGCAGAGAACACTACATATTGATTTCCTCTGCTTAAAGTGGCAGAGCCCAAATGCTGCTTCCTACACAGCTGGCACAACACTGGCTGTGGCCCCCAGCAGGGAGAGGCAAGCCCTGCTCCGTATTTTTGGTGCAGGGGCAGGCAGAGAACATTCTTTGTCCTTGTCCCTGTAGGTTCAGCAGCCCGTTCCTGAAGCCAGTGTCAGAGAAACAAGCCCCTGGATACAAGGATGTGGTAAAGAGGTGAGTTTGTGGAGGACGTGCTCGCTGGCTGATTTCTCTCTGGTTGTTTTCTGTCTTCTCTGGTTTCCAAAGGGCCAGTGGGATGGTTTCCTTCCTCCTTTAACAGAGTTTGGCTGTCACCAGCATCTCCCACTGATTTCTTTCAGTAAAACTCCCTTCTGGGTAATTAGAACCTGGAAGCTTGCACTGACTCTGGAGCTGGTGGGAATTGTGCCTGCCCTGTGCAGGCATTGCATGGCTGGCATATCCCAGGGACAGTCCCTGGGCAGGGGATTCAGGCCCTGCAGCTCAACAGTCCCTTCTCCCCATGTCTGGAATGTGCCTCAGGAGATGCCCCCTCCTCACCCGCTGCGAGCGCCCCAGATGTTTCACTCTCAGCACAGAAGTGGGTCATAAGAATATTTCCCAGAGAGATTAATGGCATTTTTTCAGAGCTGAATCATGTTCTATTCTGGTCACAGTTGTCCTCTCTGCAGCCATTCATTTTCCCATTCTGTCACAATAAGGGAAGTAATATTTATTCCCTATCATGTTCCCCTTACCAGCACTGCTATTTTTGCTGGTGGCACCATTCAATCTTTAGGAGGTTTAATAGATACCTATTTTAGTAACTTTCCTTTCTCCACTAAGACCTGGACTGACTTCCTGAAGACTAATTACTGCTTGCCTTCTCTGGAGCTCAGCATCCCATTTTTTCCAGAGGTGACTGCTAATGACCTGCCAAGTTGATTGGATAGCAAGTGTCGCATTGGCTGAACTCACTTTTGGTTTGTCTGGCTTGGAAGAAAAGCCTTTCTCACTCCCCACTGTGTGTCTTGAGCAATAAAATTGATTGAAAATAGCTGTACTTTCAGGGCCACCCTGAAATGAGAACAAGCACATTCATGCAGATCCCAAAGGATGCCTGGCCTGGGTTGCAATTTCATTCTTCTTCTCTGTGTCTTTTGTAGACCCATGGATTTATCCAGCATAAAGAGGAGGCTGACAAAGGGACACATCCAGTCCGTGATGCAGTTCCAGTGTGACCTGATGCTCATGTTCCAGAACGCCGTGATGTACAACAGCTCTGACCACCGCGTGTTCCACGTGGCTGTGGAGATGCAGCGAGAGGTCTTGGAGCAGCTGCAGGTCTTGGCTGAAGCGCTCCTGTTGTCCAGGGACAGGCTGGAGTGAGGCAGAAGGTAACCAGCCCTGCCTGAGGCCTCTCTCAGTTGGAGCAGTGTTGTCCCTGTGGGTCAGGGCATTTCCTGGGCTCAGGGGATGTGCTGGGTAGGCCTCATTAATCCCCAGTGCTGGCTGCTGGGTTGATTCAAATCAGTTTTGGGGAGGGTACCATGTTGGAAGCCTCCCTTCTTTTTGGGAACAGCAGCGACGTAGCCCTGCAGGGAGAAGACTTCCCTGGGATGAAAAGCAAAGGAGAAAATGCTGTGTGCGGGCAGGTGGATGAAGCGGGCACAGCCCGTGAGGGTGGCTGGCTGCACACCGGGCACGGCAGCGTTCCCGTGTTGCGGTTGTTGTGCTGTTCTGTTGGGTCGGGTGGGTCCAGCGTTACCGGCACTGACCACACCCAATAAAGGCCCGTGTTGAAGCTTGTCCCGGCCTGCTTGACACTGAGACTGGGACTGGGATTGGAAGGGGTCCAGAAGTGGAACTTGGGATAGTGGAAGAACTGGGACCGGGAACAGAACTGGGACCGGGGCCGGGAAACGTGGAACGGAGCGCGTGGCCGGGGGTCGGTACAAACGCCGCTTGCCATTGGTCGTCCCGGCTGCCTGTCAGTGCCAGCGCGGTTGCCGATTGGCTGGCGGAGAGCTAGCGGGGGTGTGTCCCGCCCGCGGCGCGGCGCGCGCCCCGGAAGCGGAAGCGGCGTGGTGCGGCCATGGCGCGGGAGAAGCCGGAGGAGGCGGCCGAGGCGGAGGCGGCACCGGAGCTCTCGTACCGGGAGCAGCTCGATTTCCTGAACCCCATCGCGCAGCCGCTCGCGTCCCGCAAGCTCACGCGAAAGCTCCTCAAGTGCATCAGGAAAGGTCTGGCGGCGGCGGCGGCATGCGGCGCGGGTGGGGAGGGGCCGGGACATGGCTGCGGCGCGGGCCCCCACGCTGCGGCTCTCGCTCAGCCCCTCACGCCGTGGTTCTCTTGCAGCGACCAAGCAGAAGCAGGTCCGGCGCGGGGTGAAAGAGGTGCAGAAGTTCATCAACAAGGGCGAGAAGGGGTAAGTGCTGCCCTGGCCCCTTGGCCCGGCACGGCCCCGCGGCCCGGCCGCTGACACGGCTCTCCCTGCAGGATCACGGTGCTGGCCGGGGACACGATGCCCATCGATGTCTACTGCCACATTCCCATCATGTGCGAGGACCGGAGCCTCCCGTACGCATACGTCCCTTCCAAAACGGTGAGTGCTGGGGCTGGGGAGGAACCAGCCCTGCTGATGAGGAAGCCGGTGAGGAGCCCAGGCTGTGACCGGAGCCTTCCCGGGGAGATGCAGATCCGATGCCTGAGTAAAGAACTCGGTGCTTGTCCCTGACTAAGGCACAGAAGGGACAGGGGGGAAGTGTAGGAGTGGGATCACAGAACTGTTTGCCATGATCGAGTTCCTGCAGCAGCTCCGGGACAGAGCCAGCACATCTTTTCCAGGCTTCTCTAAGGTGGGGTCAGCTCTTTTGTGGACAGGGAGTTGGAGGGGCAGTCGGTGTCTTTGGAGCTTCAGCCCTGGTGCAGACAGTTCTGCAGCCCCAGTCTGGGGAAGAATTATGGCACATGAGCTAGGTGCCAGTCCCTTCTGCCACCCCAGTTTGCAACTTGTAGGAGACAAGATGGTAAAAAGGTTCATGAACCCAGGAGGAGTGCAGAGGGCCTGGGGTGATGGGCTGGACAGGCAGAGCTTCCCTGCATTAAACCAGGGCCCGCAGTGAGCTGGTCCCGAGCTCTCACCTCAGGGACCTGGTGTCCCATGGCCTTCCTCTGCTCCCACAGGACCTGGGAGCTGCAGCCGGCTCCAAGCGCCCGACCTGTGTCATCATGATCAAGCCCCACGAGGAGTACCAGGAGGCCTACGACGAGTGCCTGGAGGAGGTGTTGGCCCTTCCCCTGCCGCTGTGAAGAGCCGGGCCCGGGCTGTGCCCTGCGGGTCCCTGTCCCTCCGCCCGGGGGCTGTTTTGGGGGACTCTGCCGAGAGGACTGAAGGGGGGATGCTGAGCACTGTGGGGTGAATAAAGGTGGCTGTGGGTTTGTACAGCGTGGTCCTGGTGCTCGGGACGAGGGCTGGAGGGGTTCCACGGCTGGGTTAAACCACAGAGGAGGCGGGGATGAGCCCGCTCGGCCCGGCCGTGACTCAGGGCGATGTCCCACCCGCTTGCACTGCCCAGCCCGCCGCGGCAGCTCCGGGGTGGGTGCTGGGCAGGCCCAGGCCGGCCCCACACCATCCCACTCACCCCGAGAGCCCCCCGACCCCGAGAGAAGCAGAGCAGAGGCCGGGGGAGAGAAATGCGGGTTTATTGCAGGAACGGGGCGTGGAGCCGGGCCCGGCCTTCACCTGGCTCTGTTACACACATAGAGCAGAGCTCCTTCCTTCCAGCACCTCTGAGCTCCCCCTGCTCCCCTGGGAGGGGGGATCCCGGCCTCTTCCCCAGCTCAGGCACATGCCCCAATCCCCTCTCCCACCCCAGTTCCTCCCAGTGTAGCAGAGCACCAGTTCCCATCCTTCCTTGCACAAGGCACTCCCCCATCTCAGCCTGAAGAAAGCTGCACCGACCACCTCCATTGCAGAGCAGCTCCACACCAGGGACATGAGAAGCCCCAACAGAGGTGCTGGGGCAGCTGCCCCCTCCCAGCAGCACCAGAACTCCTCAGGGTTTCCTCCTCGGCCTCCCCAGTGGCAGCACCAGCTCCAGGGCCCTGCTGACGAGGCAGCCACTGCAACCAGTAGCTGCAACCCCCACAGCAAGGCAGTGGGGTAGGGGACAGGGCTTAAGCTTCTCCTCACAAGACATTAAGTTACTGGGTTGTAGGAACAGGGGCAGCAGAGCAGGAGGGACAGAGAATGTCTCACAGGGTGCTTGGTTTCTGCCCCCATGGCAGAAGGAATCACAGGGCAAACGCTCCTGAAGTCAGAGCATGGGGCACATGCAAGACCCCCACCCTGGCACAGATGACCCCCCCGCCCTCCAGAGACCCTCGCCAGAAGGGCCTGAAGTGCTGCAAGAAGGAAAAGCTCCCCTGTGGCAATCGGTCCTTCAGCCCAGGGCAGCGCCGAGCGGGGCCAGTCCTTGTGCACACCCTGAGATCGTCCCTTTGCAGCAGCAAGAGACCTTCCCCCTTCTCAGTCCCACTGGCATTCTGCTCCTCAAATCTTGGAGGACTCCACCCGTTCGATCCAGGGTGAGTCGATCCTGACATCCCTGGGCTCCGCCCGCAGCTGCCGCAGCTCCCGCTCCAGCGCCTGGCTCCGGTGGTACATCTCCATGTAGCTGGCCTGGAGCTCCCGCTGGTACCGCAGCACCTTCTCCTTCTCCTCCTGCCACGTTTTCCTCTCCAGCTCAAAGTTCACAGCCTGCAGCTGGCCCTGACGCCGCTCCCGCAGCAGCTCTGCCCACAGCCACTCCACCTGCCGCTCCAGGGGCTCCGCCGAGTCACTTTGGAGGCCCCGGCACTTGGAGTCATCAGTTTCGCAGCCAGGGAAGTCCTGGCACGATGGCATGGGGTCATCGCCCAGAGGCAGCGAGGTGCTCGGCTCCGGGGGGCTCTGGAAGGAGTCTGCCAGCTGTGCCAGCTGGGAGTCCCTGGCCTGGACCTCCGCCTTGGCCTCCCGCAGCTGCGTCTTCAGGCTGAAGATCTCCCCCAGCTTCTGAGCCATCTCCTCCTGGGTGTCCCGGAGCTGCTGCTTCAGCAGGGAGATCTCCGCTGCTTTCTGGCACACCTGCAGGGCACGGGTGAGCGGTGAGGAAGGGTTGGGGGAGCAGGACGCCAAGGGTGGCAGCATCCCAGGTTATCCTGGGAGACCATAAGCACCACACGTGGCTCATCCCTCCCATACTGTGACCCCGAGCGAAACCAGAGCAGGGAACTGCTGCCCCCATCCTGGTCCCACAGCCAGCAGGGTGGAAACGAGGAAGGAAGGGGACTCACCTCCCACTTGGTTTCCTCCAGTTTAGGGCTGCCATGCTCGCCCTGGGACTGCCGGAGCTTGGTCTCCTCACACTGGCACTGCTGCAGGCTCAGCTCCTCCTGCAGCCGCTTCTTCTCCTGCTGTGCCTTGTAGAGCTGCAGCTGCAGCGCCCGCTGCCCGCGCTGCGCCTGCTGCATCACCTGCTGCAGCCGGGCCATGTACATCTGCTTCAGGTCCTCCAGCTCATCCAGCCACAGCCTCTGCTTGTCCTCAAATGCCTGCCAGTACAGGTGGACACTGGTGAGAGGCTGTAGCCCCAGGAGGGACCCCAAGAGGTCCTGTGATGTTTGATCCTCCCACGCTTGGGCATTCCAAGCTCGTCACCCACCACAGCAGCTCCTTCACTGCTCCTTCCATCCCCACATCCCTGCCCGGGGCACCCAGCTCCGCCCCAGCCCCGTGGCTCACCTGTGTGAAGGGGTCTTCAGTCTCGCTGAGGCTCCTCTTGAGCTGCCGCAGCTCCCCTCCCGTCTCCTGCAGCCGGTCCTCCAGCTGCTTCACCGCGTCCTCCAGCGAGTAGGAGAACTCGTACGGCGGCGGGGGCTCGCCGGGGCTCTGCACCCTGCTCAGGGTGGCCATGCTTTTACAGGACAGGGGCATCTTCTCGGGGGCCAGAGTATCCCTGGGGCTCCGGGAAACCCTGTCCAAGGAGCCCCCAATGTGGTTGATGTGGCCCATGGAGGCGCTGAACTGGCTCTGGGCAGGCTTGAGGCGGGAGCCATAGGACGGGAAGCTCTGGATGGAGTTGTGGCTGGAGTCAGAGGCCTCATCCAGGCTGATGGCGTGGAGCAGGTGGGTGCGGAGCGGGCCGTGCTGCGGGGCCGCTGTGCTGCTTTGCGACAGCAGCGTGTGCAGGCTCCCGTTGCTCTTGGACAACTTCTGCCCCTTGGAGGAGGACAGGCCCTGCATGGAGACCAGCCCCTTCCCAGCCACTGCCTTGAAGGCCGAGGGCCTGATACGGCACTGAAAAACAAGAGCAAGGTCAAGCATGAGCCTCTAGAGCCAGAGAGAACCCCCACGCTCACAGCTTCATATCCCTGAACATCCTCAAATCCCCAAATCCCATCCAGGGGGGTGCAGATCATCCTGCTCCATCCCCATCCTCTGACAGACCAGGACATATTTCAGACCTCACAGCCTCACCTTGTCGAAGCGGCCCCGCTCTGGCAGGGAGCTCTTGGAGAAGTCGGCCCCACGGTGATGCTCGCGGGAGCAGCGCTCGGGGGACCGGTTCTCGCGGTCACTCTCGTAGTCCCGCTTGTAGCAGGCGCCCGATGTCTGGTGCTTCCGCTCCGCCCGCGTCTCCTTCTTGGCCCCGTGCAGGTACCCAAAGAGCTCCCGCTGGCTCGGGCCCTTGCGCAGCAACCCGTCGGGCTGCCGGAGCCCCCGCGAGCCGCCCAGCGGGGCCCGCAGCTCCAGGGGGGACAGATCCTGCTTCTCCACCAGGCTGCCCACGCTGCCCATGCTGCCAACGACGCCGACGGGCTCCGAGGAGAGGTAGGTGCCGAGGACACGGGTGTTGGGCTCACAGGTCACAGGACCCTGTGCTGCTGCCATGGAGAATTAGAGAAAAGCCCAGAACCAGCACTGCCAAGGAAGAGACAGAGTCAGCGATGCCGGGACACACCCCTGGCACCCCCTTTCCCAGCCGGCCCCCAGAGCCCACATGGGCTCCTGGCACTGGGATGGATCTGCCATCTCCCGTGCAGCTTCCCGGGGGACAGGGCACAGCACGCACGGGGCGGGGGCTCCCCGCCGCTGCCCCCACCACGGTGCAGCGCCTCCTCCCACACCCAGCCCCACCTCCCGCCCGCGGCCGGGGCCGGGGCCGCCACCAGCACAGGAGAACAGGCACCTGCCGCCCAGCCAGGCGGGCGAGTTCCAGAGCCGGCAGCACCTGCCCGGGCCTGGCGCCAGCCCCGGCCCGGCGGCACCCAACCTCCCCGCCGGGACCTCCGGCTCCGGACACCCTCTGGAGACCTCCCCAAAATGCCCCTGGGGATGCCCATCAGCTTGGCCTCCCCGGGGCGCGCACGGGACGGGCACCTCTGCGGCACCACGGGGACATTCCCGCACAGCTCCCGCAGCTCGCACGGCCCCATCCATCCACAGGCATTCCCTCCCCAGCAGCGGGCAGGGACCAGGCGGACACAGCCCAGCTGCTGCGTGCGTGCCGGGGACCCCGTGGCCGGACATGGCGTGAGGGCGGTGGGAAGGGGCAGGATGCTGACGGGACAATGCAGCTTCCTGCGCAGGTGGCCGGGGGAGGAAGGATGAGAGGATGCCTTTGGCCTCGGCTCTGGCTCCCCAGCGCTAGGGAGGGGACGATGGCCTCACACCAGTGCAGGGGACAAAGAGAGCGTGGCAGGGGCGAGGCAGAGCCCCCAGCATCGCTCCCAGCCTCGCCGAGGGCTCCGGGGCCGGGTTACGCCCAGGAAGCTGCCCTGGTTCTCAGCACCACGCGCCGGGTAAACAAACACCCCGCTTTTAATTGCTGCCACGCACAAACCTGTCTGACAGCTCCCGGCCTGCGCTGTCACCTCCCTCTGCGAGCCCAACACCTGCTCCGGGCACCGGCACCCCACGAAGGGCAGCAGGGATGGACCCTCTGCGAGGATGCGGGCTGCCTGCGGTGCCACCGGGCGTGCACGGGCACAGGGGTCGTGGATGTCCCCACGGTGGTGGGGAGGGGGCCGTGGATGCACATCCAGCCCCCGGCATTGGGGAGCAGCTCGGCCGAGCCCCGCAGCGGCTCCTCCCGGCACAGGCGGCCGAGGAAGTAGGTCAGGTTGTGGGAGGTTTGGGAAACGCCGGGGGAGCCCGAAGGTGTCCTGCCCGCGGCAGGGAGGGGATCACCCTCCAGGCGGCAAAACACCGGTCCGGCCAGCCTGGCTCCTTCGCGATCTGCTCCCAGTCCCAGCCGTGCCCGGGCAGGATACGGTCACAAACCTTTTCCCATTCCCATTCCCACCCGGGAGGGAACGGCAGGGTTGGAGGGAGGCGAGCGCGGGTCCCCGCTGAGCCCTCTCCGCGCCTCCCCGCAGCCCCGCCGGAATTTCCGGCACGGAGAAGGCGGAGGGGGCACTCGGTGCCCGGGGCCGAGCCCGGGACAAAGCCCCGCTGGCCGCAGCGCAGCGGGGCAGGGGATGGGGGGCGGCGGGGGCCGGCCGGCCCCGCACTCACCATGCCGGCGGCGCTGCGGTCCCGCCCGGCTCCGCTCCGCGCTCCTTCCCTCGCCGCGTTTGAACGCGCCCCTCGGCCGCGGCCGCGCGGGGCGGCGGGCGGAGCCGGCACCGGCAAATCGCAGCGCGGGGGCGGTGGGACGGGAGGGGCGGGAAGCAGGAGGAGGAGGAGGAGGAGGAGGAGGAGGAAGGAGGAAGGAGGAGGAAGGAGGGGGGCGGCCCGGCCGTGCCCACCAGCGGGGCGGGGCAGGGCGCGCTGGCGGCCTGCGGTGCCGACACTTGCGCTAAAACCCCCCCAATGGCGGGCAGACCCCCGCAAATCCCCGCAGCTACAGCTCCGGCGGCACTCGACTCCCGGTAACCCCCTGACCGGCGGGCTGGTACTCCTGGGTATCGCCCACCAAGGCTGCAAAGAAATATTTACTTCGTAGCTGCGGCGTGGAGAGGGGTCTCGACTCCGTAGGACACGCTCTGCGCCGTCCTCTGTGAGAGCAGCCCCGTGTGCCCCCCTGAGCAGCCGCGGGCGGGCAGGAGCCCCACAAAGCCCCGGCGGACGCGGTGTACCCCCGGGGGGCTCTCGCCTGGCCCGGCGCCAGTGAGACGGGACACGCTTCATCCCTCTGAATCAGCGCCGCCACATCCTGGCCTGGAGCCGGTTTTGGCAGCCGCAGGGAGCGAGGATCCCGGCACGGGGTGGACCTGGTCACCGGCGTCCCGGCCTTCTCCGGGAGCCAGGACACCTGCTGCAGCTCTGCTCCGTCCCTCGGCGCGGTGCCCGTGCTCCCCAGCCCGGCGTATCCGGTGTGCTCGCACCCCGCCGGCTGCCAGCTCCCCCCGCCGCACACCCGAGTCCTCAAGCTGTGCTGCCAGTGCTCTCCCACACACACACACTGTCCCCGGTCCCTGCTCGCCGGGCTCACATGCTGGCAGTGTCCTCGGTGCGCTGCCAAGGCACGCTCCGCTCCCCCGGGCCTCGGCCCCCGTTCCCCGCAGCTCCTGTGCCCAGGTGCGCAGCAGCACGCGTGGCCTCTGGACAAGGGAGCCCTTCCCAACGGAGCCATTTCCCATCCTGCTGGCCTCGGGAATGGGGCTGCGATGTCCCGGGCCTCTGCCTGGAGCTCAGCCGTGAAAGGGCCCCCCGGCAGCCCGCGGGGACTGGCACCACGCACGGATCGGGCGGGTTGCGGTGATGCCGGGGGACTGCGAGGGGTGCTGGTCACGACCACCCCCCTCCTTCCCGTCTGCCCTGCTTCCTGCTCCCCCACGGGTGCTTCTGCCTGGGATAGCAACTTCCACAGAGCCCCGGAGCTTGGCCAGGTCACTCCAGCAGCCAGGGATGTTTCTCCAAGCAGAGATGCTTCAGCCTCCTCTCACTTTTTCCCCAGTCCCCTCTCTCGGCTCACCTCACCCCTCAGTGCCCACCTCTAAGATACTGCAGCAATTCCAGGTGTTCACCAGGAAACTGCTCCGGAACCACCCACTTTATAACAACCTGGCAATAGAAGCCATCGATTGCTGTGCCCACATCAACCCCAGGTGGCCTCACCGATGGTAATTGGGACCCCAGAATGGGGGTCACAGTGGGGCAGGGCTGAGCCTCCAGGGACCCTCTCTGCCCCTGAGCATTCTGATGTTCTCCTTGGGCTTGCTGAGAGCATGAGAATGCTGCGAGGCTTTGGGCTGGGCTCTGCAGGGCTCCTGGGACAGCAGGCAGGGTGTTACCCATCTGCTGAAAGGCGATGGGGAGGGAAAAACTTCATCCCCTCCTGCTGGGCCATTGCCGATATCGAAGCGCGTGGGGGGAGCAGAGCCAAGCGACCTCCGAGTCACATTCAGGGCTATAAAAGGAAGCCGGGTCTCCAGCAGGGCGCCTCTTCCACAAAAGCAACCGGAGGATGAGGGGGCTGCGAGCAGAGCTGAGAAATAGCTGCCAGGCAGCGGGAGAGGAGCCTGGAGCGCTGAGCGAAGTGCGAGGTGCACATATGCTCTCTGTTTCTGCACAGCTACATCTTTATGAAACCTGCCCCAAATTGTGTCATCTATTTTGAACAGAGCAGAGAAATACTTTGATCTGCCTCCACCAGCCCTGGCTGCGGTTCAGGCACCGGGAAGGGGCTGCCGTACAGATGGCCAATCCCAAACCCGTGCCATGGAGAGGAAGGACTGGGACTGCTGGGCCAGTATCTCCCTCTGGCTGCCCACAGCAAGGGCATGACTGGTCCTGAGAACACCTGTGGAGAAGTGCACCAGCTGCCCAAGTTCACCAGCACTTTCATGCCAGATACCAGCAGAGCTTTGGAGCCACCAGGCTGGACAGGCCATCAGGAGCTCTTGGACAGCACATCCCCTCACTGCCCTGAGGCTGGGCCTGCTGCTTCCATGATGCAAATCAGATCCTCACCACCCTGCACCAGAACCTCAATCCCTGCCTCAGAGGCAGCCCCCCACACCCTATCCAAGGGCTCCAGACTCCTCTCTCAGCTGCAAAGCAGCACAGAGAGCAGAAGGCACCAGATCCCTCCAGACACCCCATCCTACAGCCCCTACAGGGTACATGACCCCTGCCCTTGGTACCGATGCTTTTTTCTCTCCCTCCCCCTTTCCCTCCCTCTCTCCCTCCTTCCCTCCCTCCTCTCTGGAGCTCCTTGTCTTCCCAGGATGGCAACAGCTTCTCTCTGGGGATGCAGAGCGACCACTCCAGGAAGTGCAAGCAGGAGATGAGGACAGAAGGGGCCAGGAAACGCGGAGGGCCTGGTGCCAGTGCTAGTGGTGATGCTGAACGGAGGGGTACTGGCTGTTCAACTGGCTCTACCCAGCCTGAGGAGGCAGCAGCACCCAGAACGTGTGCCAAGACCCCAGGGGACACGTCAGACTTTTCAATTCCCCCCACCCCGACAAAGGCTGAGGCAGCACATGCCACAGAAGGCAGGCAAGGAAAGGAGAGCTCAGCCAGAACTCTCCTCACCCCAGAGAGGTCCTGGCCTACAAGTGCTGACATCCAGCAGCGCTGTGGATGCTGGGGTTTGGGCACGGCTCAACCACAACCACTTCCTGCAGTGAAATGACAGCAGCTCAGCCCTGGGGGTACCTGGCAGCTGGAAGAGGCACCATCTCTCTCAGAGCCCATTTCAGACTGGCTTGGGCTCTGAACCAGAGCAGCTCAGAGCTCACCTGTCACACAGAGAGGAGCTGGGACCAAGCCAGAACAGGTGTGCTGAAGGAAGGTGAAGGGAACAGGAGAATGGAGTAGTGCCAGCACAGCCCAGGGCATTCACAACTCACAGGTGCCCTGACAGTTCTTTATTGTCCTGTGAGCTGTGTGGCAGCTCAGCCAAGTCCAGCACAGGAAAACCAACTCCTGCACCTGCCCTGGGAGGCAGCACCAGCGCCTGCAGCGATACCAGCGAGTCCCACTCTCAGCCTCTTCTGTTCCTCCCAGCAAAGTCCAGCTCTCAGCCTCTTCTGTTCCTCTGTGTCTCGCCAGCACTGCCATGCTCATCCACTGCAAAAACCCTGCCTGCTCCAGGCAGCTCCACGGCAGCCACGGAGTCTTGGCACCAGCACAGAGCACACGACTGGCACGCAGGGACGGGCTCAGCCAAACGTGCACCAGGGGGTCTCGTTTGTGTCACAGTCCAGCAAGATATTGAGGACGGTGCAAGGGGCTCCTGCCACGCTCAGATCTGTCCGTGACTCGATTCGGTACCTCACGTTGTTCAGGCCTCCCTCCCGATCCACCTTGAACTGCTCCTGAGGAAGAGAAAGACTGCTCGGCCCAGGCTGGAAGGGGGAAGCACCCAGTGCCTGGGGAGGGAGCCAGAGCTGGCAGAGGAGGACATGAGCACGAGGGCTCAGAGCATGTGGTGACCACAGCCCAAATCTCCCTTGGCCACAGGTCCCACCTGCTTCTGCGCAGCGATGCGCTTCTGGTCTCTCTTCCTCCAGGCTGGGTCATGCAGGTGCTGGAAAGTCTCGTATCCAGTTGTGATTCCAGAGGGACGACGAACCTGGGAGAGGAGCAGAGCTTCCGTAAAGCTACTGGAAAACTCCTGCACCTGCTGCTGGAGCGCAGGGCTGCCTTCCCCAGACCCCAAACTGGGTGGCCACAGTGGGAGCCAGGTGAAGAGACATAAAAAAGGGCAATTTCAAACCAGGAGGGTGCAGAGACCCCTTACCTGGAGACCAGCTCCTTTGATACGCCGATAAAACTCATCGTCCTCCCGTCCCCAGCCCCAGAAGCGGTTAGACATGCCATTGCACTGGAACAAGAGCAGCACCGTACCAGCCAAGGTCGAGCACAACTCCACAGCCTCGGAGGAGCAGACACCAGCCCAGCCTCCCCTGTCCTGCCCCCCAGCAGCTCAGACCACAGGCTCTGTACCCGAACTATTTTGACTCCCGTCCCCACTTCCCAAGTTCACCATGATAATGTCACAGCTCCTGCTCCAAACTCTCCAGGACATCCCATCCAGGAGCTCACCAACTCGTAGTGCTGCTTGGTGAGCAGCAGGATGCCACCCACATAGGTCTTGTAGTGGTAGAGAGGGTGCAGGTCAGGGGATGCCACGTGGAAGGGCCCTGCCTCTGGGAAGCTGTAGTCCAGGTTCTCGTTGAGGGGCAGGAGATCCACGTCGTGCATGGCGATGTAGTCGGTGTCGTTGCCGCTCTCCAGGAAGCCCACATTGATCAGGGATGCCCTGTTAAACCTGCCACAGGACTGGGGGCTCTCAGTGCCACACAGAGCAGCCACTGTCCCTGCTGTCCCCATCAATGCTCAATGTCTGACCGGTCCCCAAACAGGGACACGTGCAAACACAGCGTTCCATCCTGCAACTGCATCCCTGCTTCTCCCTGCACAGTGAGCTGGGTGCGATAGCGTTTCCAAACACCCCATGGCCATGTCTTTGACTTCCAGAGTCCCCATGTTTGCTGCTGCAGACCTGTGACACTGAGGAGAAAGCTGAGATACCCAAGGATAAAGGATTCTATGCTAAGATTCTATTTTTGCTAAGGAAGAAGGAAGCAAATCACCACTTGGTCCATCTCTAAGCTCTACAACGAGCAGCTTTGGGGAGAGCATCAC